AATTTTCACACAAAAATAGCATTGGTAGCCATTTTCACCGTGAAGATAAAATAAAGTCCGAAATTTTTTTTTTAGCATAATAAAGTATATTACATTAGCTTTAATTTAAGATATATATAAAAGTGTCAGACCTTCCGGAACATTTTCAAAATTTAAGTTAAAAAAATTAATTTTTTTTGAAAAAGTTGTCATTTTGAATTCCCTCTTGTGAGCAGGTTAAGGGTTAAATTNTGCCCCCTTGTGAGCAGGTTGAGGGTTAAATTTATAAAAAAAATATACCAAATAAAAGGTAATGATATTATGCATCTATATAAAAAAGAACTATATTGATATGTTCATTTTTGAAAAAGTTATGGCAGTTTTAAGTAAAAAAAATTGAAAAAATTTCGAAAATTAGCGATTTTTAAATTTGTAATTTTTTTGGAGGTTTCCCCCATTTACGGGGAACGAGGGAAATTTTTTCAATTTTGAAGGGAAATGTCTNCAGGGAACGAGGGAATTTTGTTTAATTTTTGAGGGTAATGTCTTCGACTAGATACGATTTGTGATCTTTTGACGTATCATTGAAAGAAATCGGTTTGGTGAGAGCTGAGAAAAAGTGGTAACAGACACAAAAAAAAAAAAAAAAACACATCTTAGTAAAACCAATACCTTCTCAGCTTCGCATCGAAGCTAAAAATAATTTTATTGTATAAAAATAAATAAGTGTGTATCGTTTTATCAAATGGTGATTTCAGTTTAATCCGCCATGGTCTATAGTTTTACTGTTTTATGTAAGAAAAACATTAATAAGTATTTATTTGTTATCTACGATTAGCTTCCATACCTGACCCTACCTACACTATAACGCCCAGATAATATCAAACTTGACGTAGTATTTTGAAATTTTGCGTTTGTGAAAAGTATGGTTGCTGTCTGGTGAGTTAACACTTATAAAAAATGTAGAGGAGCAAGATCCAAATCTTGCGCCTTTTATAGATACTTTTATACCAACTATGAGTTGCTTAATATTTCATAAATGAGCTAGAAAAAAACTAGTAACAGTTCGTCTTGCACTAGTCTCGACAATCAAATATTTGCAATTTAGACGCCGTTCATTTATTAAGAGAGTGTATTGAAAGCAGTTTCATTAAACCGGTTAGATATGTAATTATAAATTCATTAAATAATCTGCAAAAAAATGTTGTGAAGTTATAGTTATAGATACGTTCAAAAACTGAAAAATAACCTTTTGGTCAATTTTTTAGCCTCTATTCGGTACATAAAGTGGCAAGTTATCTAAACCAAATTTTATCCCTATAACATTTATATAATAAAGAAAAAATTTGACGAGTTATATAAAAGTTTATAAAATAAGGCATACCATAGTTTATGGATTTTAAATATATAAATATTTTTTTGTAAACAAAAATACATGTGCAAAAAATACATATACGGAATAATTCATTATTGGTGAAATGATTGTGAAAAATGAGAGTCTTCATTTTTTAGAAACTATTGAAAGTATTAAACGTTGAAAAGAAAATACTGTTTGATTAAAAAAACTACAATAATATGAAGTAAATAATTTTTTTTTTTATTTATTCACGGATAAAAAACTTTAATTTTCTTTAATGCGAAACCTTATTTTTAGTTTGAAGATATGATCTATCATACAGAAATAATATCTTTAAACATTGTTACGTCGCTATTTAGGGGTTTAGCCTAAATGCCCGTCGACAGTATTCTAAGGGACCAACGGGGGATAGCTGGCTAGGCTATATCTACCTTAGGTACTGAAGTTTCCTATTTAATTTATATTCCCTTAGAGGAACTACCAAGGGTCGCACTACAATATATATATATAACACTTTAGGTTAACAACGATATAAATAAATATTTATTAAACAATTAAAATATTAAATAGATAATACAACCTGCTGGACACCTAGAGATGATATAATCCAACAGGGAGCTGACGGCGACACACACACACACTATAATATACGGGGTAGCAAGTTAAGTTAATTATTAGACAAGTAGTGATCGCGAAGATGGTAAAAGGTCAACTGTCGATAGGGATATCTTATTATGGCACATTGGCCGTGAATTGCAAAAAGTGTTTATGTGTGCAGTCCGCCCTCCTGTTAGTATTGCTGTATGTCACTGTGTTAATTATATATATATATATATATATATGTCTATTAAACGGTACAACGATGTTATGGGAGACAGAGATATGGGCACATGCAAATGTGATCGTATCAACATTTAGGTCAATAATGATGCATAGATATATTCAACACTAGTTTACTATCATATATTGTTAGATCATAAAATTAATTTATGGCCTTTTAAAATAGATTATTGTGCCTCCGATATTATTAAAAGCAAAATAATGATAAATTTGTATTTTAAATCCAAATGGTTGATCAGATATAAATAAATATAAGAACATATTTTTTTTTTTTTTGAACATTCACTCAATGAATTATCTTGTATAAACAGTTTTACCTTGTGATAGTCACCCCTATAGAAAATATCATTAAAAAAGTGATTAGCAAATACAAAACTGTGTCGCTAATNGTCACCCCTATATAAAATATCATTAAAAAAGTGATTAGCAAATACAAAACTGTGTCGCTAATCATGACTAATGAAATTCAAGGTGAGCCCAGGGACGTTTGTTCCCTTATTGTTCCCTTCTTAATCCGGGTTTGCAGTGGTGGTTTCACGGGAAGACCTAGGCGTCTGGGCTCTCATAAGCACCAATAATTTTACTTTATATTATATGTAGGCTAATTATCCTACATATAATATTCGGTATATAATAACGGTAGATATTAGAGCCTTAACACTCTGATATGTATTCTAATTTTAATAATTATTATGTTTTTTCTTTTACCCTCACCCAGAAAATACTGAAGATCCGCACTACTTAAAACGTAACTGAAGACTTTTATCAATTATTAATCACCCCTTTTAGACAAAATCCATACAGTTATTTTTATACAATTTATTTATACCTAATTTTTTCACAATCGAGTGTAAAATATTTTAATATAATCAATTTTCAATTAAATGAACCCAATACAATAATGATATAAATTAATTTTACAATTGTTTTATATGTTCTTACCGAATATGAATTGTATTTAGAGTTACAAAAAACAGGAATGACAACATTCAATATGATACAACACAATGCAAAAATCTTGTAATACTTAAACAGTAACATCGTTATTGTGTATTTTTTTAAGAAAAAAAATAATAATTTACATTGGTTTTGTTCTAAGTTTATATATCAATTTAATGTACTTAAAATCATTTTTAATACAATAAATAATGTTCTTTATTTACTTTATTTATAAAATGTATGATAATAGATTATTATTTCGAGGATAAAATTTGTTAGTATAATAATAGTAGAATATTCTAGAGATATTAAGCCATCTTTTGGTGTTCTTTTAATAAAAAACGTAAGGATAATTAATATCTTATTACCAAAGGACAAAAAATAATTTAAATAAACGTAAAATCTAAATATTTCCCTTAAGCTAAAAAGTTGACTTAAAATTTTTAACATATTTTATAATTTATTTGATTTAAACATTTTTATTTTCTTACAATTCTTTTAGAATGTTAATATTTTTATAATTTATAAAAAAATTTTAAATAAAACTTTTATTTAATACATTGAAGATGAGAATCGAAAAATAAATGTTAAATCACGTGTTTTGCAAGTGCTCTGAAAAAAAAATGTATATATATATATATATATTAATTCCTATCCGTTTTCAGGTGTTAGATATCAGATACCATAAGGTGAACCGATATAACTAAGAATTAGTGCAGTTTTTTCCCGTTGCCTACTGCACTGATGACATTGTGCTTTTTGCCACCATAAAACGCACGTATTCGTACACTACGGCGGCAGGTGTGGCTTAACACTAGAGTTTTGTCATTATCTAGTGTGTCCACCACATCACGACCCTATTTTTTTTACAAAATATATTTCGAAAAATAATAAATATTTATTAATAAGAATAACATTACTCATCATGTTGTATTAAAAATTAATCATACCCATTTTAAAATTCTTATACGCATACATTCACGACAAGCAAACCATTTTTATCAAAAAATTAAAACAGTTTTAAAAAAATTCTCAGTAAGCAATCAATTAATTGCTATTATATATACAGGTGTTCTATAAGTTTGGAAACAGACATTTTTTAAATCCACTATTAATACAATTTTTTTTTTTTGAGTTTAATTGCATCATCACGAATAAAATTAAAATTCAACTTTAAACTAAAAACGTAATAATCTACCCTAACTTAATAAATTTAAATGGCAATCAATACTTTTTTTAAAATCTTCAATTAGGTAGTTCTATTTCAGACAAAAATTTTATCTATAATTTTAAAAATGGACAAGCCATTTTTCGGAATAAAAAACCAACTTTAAAATTTGGAGAACTTTTTACCAGCATTATAATAATTCAATGTATGATTCTTCAGATATAATAATCAAAACTACCTGATTATAATTGTTTGATTTATCTTAATGATCTTATCGGAGCATAAAACGATAAATAAAAATTATTTAATTGGTATTGTATCATATCAATAAAATTATTAAATACTAATAAAAATAAGATTTTTGATTAATTTTTTACAAGAGAAAGTAGATTATTGTTGAAAAATTCATTGCTGACAATACGCATCAAATTGAATATTTTGTTCATTATGACTAATTAGATAAAAAATAATTTAATAATTACAATTTAATCAATTTAATTAGATATAAAGAACAAAAGATTCTATTTAAGCTTTATTAGTGATTAAATATTTTATCAATATTTCAAGTAACGAGAAACAAATTCTTTAAACATTTTGAAATTATATATTGAAAAATCATCAAAATGATGATTCTTAAAATAAATCTTATACTTTGTAGTTGATTTTTACTTATAAATATTATTATATAAAATTTTACCTTTCAGATTTTTATTATTCTTATATTTTTTGTAATATAAGTAATTTTTAAATTTTTTTAGCAATAATTCATTATATTGCTTAAATTTTTCATACTCATACATTGACAAACAAACTATTCATATACTAATTTAAACCAATTTCAAAGAAATTCTCAATTAGTAATTCATTTATTAATTGCTATTATATAACTTGACTATAGAATATTCAATGATACAAGGCATGCAATATTTAATACATTTTTTTTTAATGAGCTATCTAATAAAATTAATAATAAACACTAAATGGTTTTATCTAAAGAGCCTTATATCTCTGTAGCTACATTATTAATTATTATATTTCAAGTGTATTGAAAAAATGCAAAAATGTATGTATTCTAATTTTTAATTTTTAATTGCATGTTTTTAAGGAAACTCTATAAAAAATCTACATGTATATGACACTAGTCAGATAAATATTATGACCATTTGACAGGCCTATAATCTTCCATTGAATAACTCACTAACTAATAATTCAGTTACTATTTTATTGTGAAGAAATTTCGTCCAGCTATGTATTATATTTTATAATAATAGTTGAAATTATAGGCCGAGCCAGCTAGGGCAAATTAGCTCTAATAATCAAGCAACGATCCACAGTTATAATGAGACAAAATCATTAATAAATTATAATAGAGGTTATTATTATTTTTTATTTTTATTTTGATTAAATATACGGGATAAACCCTTTGAACATATATACACATTATACATATCACTTATACATTAATTGTACAAATATTATAAATAATAAATAAACAGCTATTCAGTTAATTATAGGCAAAGAAGAAATGAAGGGTCAACGTTGGCAATTGACATCATACGTGTAATAGACTCATTTTTAAGGTAATTAGTAGAGGCGAAAGGAACATAAAAAGGAGCAACAGATCGGGAGTGACGTTGAACGTAGTTTCCCCTATAGGAAACAACATCTACATATTTTATATGTACTAAAGTTTTTTTGGCCTTGGCTGATGAAAGATCTACTTTCGCCTATGCTTATCATATTACATTGGATATACTCAATTTTATATTATACAGCAAAATGAACGGGTTTTTTCATAAAAAAAAAATTATTAATATTTTTAATTGTATAATAAGAAATTAGTATCACTTTAAAAAATATGATTTGTCAATAAGTTATTTAAGAAAAAAATATAATATAAAAACCCAATTTTTTTTATTTGTTATATGAAATTGTTATTGAAGTAAATATATGATAAAAAAACTAGCATAGTAGGTACGTGTCACAGTGAAAACGCCGCATAGTTGAGACAAATAAATGGAGGAGATCTCTAAAAAAATCACAGATTAAAAAATCGATAATTTTCGAAATTTTTTCATTTCTTTTTATTTTAAACTGCCATAACTTTTTGAAAACTGCATGGTTCAATACAATTTTTTTTAATTAATATATTAAGTATTCACCTAACATTTGATATATATATTTTTTTTAATCTGACCCTTCACCTGCCCATTGTAGTGAATCAAAAAAAGAAAAATAATAATATTATACTATATACTTTAATTGTATTAATGATATAAAAGGGCTTATTAATTTAGGGAGCTACTTTGACAGTTGCTTAAAAGAAATAAGTTAAATAGAATACGACGGGATTTGGGTTCTTATTTGATCCACTACTTTGTTGTATTAATGATATTATTACTCGGGGTATGAGTACAGGGTCTGTAAGAAAGATAGATTTAAAATTTTTATTTCTTATAATATAAGCTTTAATTTAAGATTAAATAAAACTATGAATATATCCGGAACATTTTCAAAATTTAAGTTGAAAAAGTTACTATTTTAAATATACCTTGTGAGTAGAATAAGTGTTAGATTTTCAAAAAAATGTTACTTAGGGTACGAGGTTCGAATCCGCCTGTGGCAATTAATATTTAACATTTTTTTTGAGTTAGAAAAAAATATTCAAATAATTTGATTTTTATCTCATTTAGATTCAATAACTTCAATAAATATCAAGGATCCCATCAATATAGTTTCCCCTCGTGAGAAGAAATTTCTGATTCATGTTAATAATTATTATTATTATAAGTATTATTTAACTATTTGGTTTTTTTTGTGGCTACGATTTATTTTGCCAACCCTCACTTGACCTACTATTTTCAACGATATGTCAAATGATTACAATTCGTATTTAGTTAAAAATATCCTTAAAAATCAAAAAAATATTCCTTATTTAAATAAAAAGTAGCTTAACCAGCTTTTCCATACTAACAATTAAAATCATTCATTTCTAAAAGTTTTAAAGTATTTAATGTCTAGTATCTAAGAATTAGATGTGATATGATAAAAGTTTAAAGTATGATAAAAGTATTCAACTACAAATGTAAATAATTTTACTTTGTAATTTATTAATTTTTAACTCTATTTGTGTGTGCTACTACTAGTCTATAATATTTCATATATTTTTGTAATATGTTGCTATATAAACCATAAATTTAAATAAAAAATTATTTTTAGTTTCACCTGAATTTAACGATGGATTTTTACAATTATAACCAATTTTAATAATACGCTCACAATTGAGTAAATCTTTTTAACTATTTTTTTTTTTATTGGTTTTAGCTTCGATGCGAAGCTGAGAAGGTATTAATTTACTATGATGTGTTTTTTTTTTATTTTTATAATTTTTTTTTTTGTGTCTTAATTTATAGTGTTCATTTTTAGCCTTTTCATGCCATTACTTTTATATTCATCATATTGGTTTCTTATATTTTGAAGGACAATTTTAAGATTTTCAATTAAATTAATTGCAGTGTACAAATCAATTACACCACTTTGATACCTTTACTACACCTATTAAATAGTTCGAGAATATTATGTCATAATTCACACATAATGGCAGTTTCTAAATAACCGAATACTGAGCTTAAACAAGAAGCTTGGTGTCGAGTTGATTATTTTTGAAATGTATCATTTTGAATTTTTTTAAACGCTTCATTAATATTCTCGTAGCTTATAAATAACGCTTTAACAGCCTCAACATTTACACTCCATCTAGTAACTGATTTGGATTTAGGAAGTGGACAATTTTTTACTAAAGTTTTTTTTAAAATATCCCAGCGTTGGGTAGAGGCGGAAAAAATTCGTAAACTTCTTGGACAAAACCGAAAAAAGAAACTGCTTCAATTCAATAATCTACAGCAGATTGTCGAACGAGATTCAGCGAATATGCAATACACGGAATATAATCAATAAATTAATTGCACTTTTTTATTTCTGCTTGCATACCAGTATAATTCCCACTCATGTTGCTAGCGTTGTCATAGCTCTGCCCACGACAATTTTCTATGTTAATATCATTTTCTTTCAAAAAGTTAAGGAAACACAAAGCAAGATTTGCACCAGTATGACTTGTAACATAAATAAAAGTAATGAAACGTTCTACTGGTCCATCATTATTCGTATTATACGAAGGTAAGAAAGTATTAATTATACTATGATGTGATTTTTTTTTATGTCTGTTACCACTTTTTCTCAGCTCTCACCGAAACGATTTCTTTCAACGATACGTCAAAAGATTACAAATCGTATTTAGTCGAAGACAATACCTTCAAAATTTGAAAAAATTTCCCTCGTTCCCCGTAAATGGGGGAAATTTCCAAAAAAATTACAAATTTAAAAATCACTAATTTTCGAAATTTTTTCAACTTTTTTTACTAAAAACAATGAACATATCAATACAATTTTTTTTTATAGATGATTGATGTCTTTACCTATCATTTGGTATATTTTTTTTATAAATTTAACCCTTTACAAGCCCACAGGGAGGGATTCAAAATTACAACTTTTTCACAAAAAATTAACTTTTTCAACTTTTGAAAGTGTTCCGGAAATACTGACACTTTTATATATATCTTAAATTAAAGCTTACATAATATACTTTTATATTAAAAAAAAAATTTCGGACTTTATTTTGCTTTCATGGTGAAAACAGTCATCAAAGTTTTTTAAAAAAAATACGATTTTTGTAAAAATATTTGAAACTCTTTGAAAAATGTATGGATGAATACAATTTTTTTATGAGAAATAATATTTATATACCTCTTTAATTCGACTTCCTTTTTTTTTAATCGGACCATTTCCCTTAATACAGGGGGGTTTAAAACATAAAAATGCATATAGAAAGTAGAACTTTTTCAACTTAATTTTTGAAAGTGTTCCGGAAATACTGACACTTTTATATATATCTAAAATTAAAGTTTATGTAATATACTTTAATATAAAAAAAAAAAATTTTGGACATAATTTTGTCTTCATGGTGAAAATAGCTACCATATTTAAAAATATGCTATTATTGTGTTAAAATTTTTGGTTTTGTATTTTATTTTATTATAAGGGGATTACACTGATTTTCATAAATATTATATCAATCTGAATGACATAGTATAAAAAATTAATCATATTTAAATTTTTTTGCTTCTTTGAAGTCGAGAGAAATAACTTTAAAATTTGAACTAGCTAAATTTCCATTTTTATTAAGTGACGAATGAGACGTACGGTTTTTGAGACGGAAACACTTGGGTCTTTCACAACTGTGGCACTGAATTTTTTTAAAATTCTTTTTGAGTTAAAAAAAAATGTTTAACTCATTTTATTTTTATCTAATTTAGATTCAATAACTTTAATAAATATCAAGGATCCCATTACTGTAGTCTCCTCTTGTGAGAAGAAATTCATATTAATATTATTTTACTATGAGGTTTTTTTTTGTAGCTATCATTTATTTTCTCAGTTCTCATTTGAACTACTTTTTTGACAAATTTTTTTTTAAATTAAACACTATCTACAGATATACTATAATATTACAAATTGTTTGTTAACATTTTGCTATATAAATCATTTCTAAAAAAAATGATTATTAGTTTCTCCTGAATTAACAATACATTTTTACAATTATAATCAAATTTTATAATTCGCTGAATTGAGTAAATCTTTTTAGCAACTTTGTTTTGATTGGTTCATTTAATTAAAGTAAATCATTAAAATTAATTATTTTCTGAATATTTCAATTGCAGAATCATTTTAAACACCAAAAGTAACTAGGAAATTATTATTATTATTACTTCTATTTAAGTTATCTATTACGATAAAAATGCAAAAAAATTTTGAGCTTTCCTGATAAATTTACAATAAATAGTAATTATAAATCTTTCTGACTGCATATTAATCTTAACGATACAATTTCTTTAATTCTCATAAAATTATCTATTTAATGATTCATTTTAGTCAACGAAGGAGTAATTTTGGCGAAAGCAAAAAAAATTCCTAACCAAATTTTTTTTTTTAAAGTAGGAAATTGTAGGATTATTCCAAAAGCAACATTAACTCTTATTTCTTTAATTATATCCTGANAAAAGCAACATGAACTCTTATTTCTTTAATTATATCCTGATTAGTAGTTCTTTGATTTTAAAATATAATATATGAATAAATACTAATTATAGTTTTTAAATTTAGTATGAAATTGATATTCAATAATTTAATATTGTAATTTATACAGAGAAATTATAAAAATGATGAAGAAGTTATATTTTGCTTTACTTTTACATGAATAAATACACTGGACTATAAGGAACTTTCATCTGAAGCAAAAATTTACTTTTCTTTTTCAACTTTTCACGTTGTTTTCAAATCTGCAATTAGAATTTTTCTATTACTTTTAATTTTTTATACTATTACTAATTAGTAAAAAATTATTATTTACATATAAAAAAATAATTAAAAAAAAAACACATTATAGTGAAATCAATACCTTCTCAACTTTGCATCGAAGCAAAAAAAATTGTATTAATCCAAACCTTTATCACAAATTTGTAACAATATAAATTTGATAATTTTAACAAAAAAATAGTATCTTTTTGACTACTGTAGCCGTTTATAGTACTAAAACAATTTCCGAGGACAAAGTTTTTAAATAGGAATTTATACAAAATGTTTGAAAATAACTTATTTATCGTGAATCATTCAATTACTAAATAATAAATACAATATTAAAAAATTAAATTTTTAGTTACATATACATGATTTATTAGCTACATCGTCCTTCATAAGTTAAAAGAGATTAAACTATATATTTTTGTGGAAATATACATATTCAACTAGGTTATAAAATATAGAATTATCAAATTAAAAAACCTAGCACAGTGGGGTCATGGCATAGTTGGGTCCAGTATAGATGATATCTGACAGTGATTAAAATCACTATCATAAAAAACGCTTNCCAGTATAGATTTAATCTGACAGTGATTAAAATCACTATCATAAGAAACGCTTCGATGCAAATCTGTAGATAGTGTTTAATTANAAATTATAAAATATTCATGAAATTCAGTGTATTGCCTTATAAGATATTTAAAAAAAAAAATAAAATACAAAACCCAGGATTTTAACAGAAAAATAGCATATTTTTGAATACGGTAGCCATTTGCGCATAGAAGATAGGTCGTCGGGACAAATTTTTTTTTTTTATTTTATAGTACATAAAATAAGCTTTAATTTGATATATGTTTAAAGGACGCAGTATTTCCGAAACATTTTCAAAAGTTCAATTGAAAATGATCTATGTTTTTTACAATATTTCAAGTTTTGAACGCCCCCTATATAAGGGGAAATTCGTCCAATTTTAACAAAAAGTATGTTAAATGAAAGATGTACTTAAAATGTCGGGACAAATTTTTTGTTTTCATTTTATAGTACATAAAAAAAGCTTTAATTTGATATATGTTTGAAGGACTCAGTATTTCCGGAACATTTTCAAAAATTAAGTTGAAAAAGTTAATTTTTGTAAAAAAATTGCTATTTTAAATCCCCCCCAATAAGCAGGTTAAGTGATAGATTTTCAAAAAAATGATATCAAATGAAAGGTAAATATCTAAAGTTTTAGAATAAAAAAAAACTATGTTGATTTGTTGATTTTTGAAAACGTTATGGAAGTTTTTAGAAATAAAAGTGAAAAAAATGACAAAATTTAGCGATTTTTAAATTTGTAATTTTTTTGGATATTTCCCCCATTTGCGGGGAACGAGGGAATTTTTTTCAATTTTTAAGGGTAATGTCTTCAACTAGATACGATTTGTGATCTTTTGACGTATTTTTGAAAGAAATCGGTCCAGTGAGAGCTAAGAAAAAGTGGCAACAGACATAAAAAAAAAAAAAACACACATCATAGTAAAACTAATACCTTCTCCGCTTCGCATCGAAGCTAAAAATAACTGGTCAATAACAACTTTAAGATCAGTACTTCAAAAGTTATAACAATATTTGTTGCGTATACAGTTATATGGTACCTTGTTTGTGACCGCCCCATCAAGATGTGATTGACCGCTGATAAAATAATTAAAACGAGTTCCATGCGACTCTTTAAACGCGTCAATTATATATTTCGCTCGCTCGAGTGTCGTTGATATCAAATTGAACGGTATATTATCGTTTCTTTTTTTTATGTTCTTTTTGAACTATCGCAAAAGAGTGTATATACACTCATAATTTCGCACGCCGGTTCTTTACATATAAAGAGATACCCAAAACACTCTAACTTTTGGACAAGATTAATCGTCGTTTTTCCGGTCATTAGCAAGACATACAAATTTGCTGCAAACCAGGACGCTGTCATCTGTGGATATACAGGTCACCTTTATTGTATCGTTTTAAATTACTATTAAATAATCTGTCAATGTATATATATATATATATTCCTATTTTAGTTAAGTTTTACTAACATTAAGTTTAATGATATTTTATGTTTGTACAATATTCTTACATTGAAAGTATTAATATATGAATACTCTCAACACCTTTCACAATTTTCTATATTATATTTGTCTATTCCTGACATTCCTGTAGTGTTCTCCTTTTCAATTTAAGTTAAAGGAACACTCAAACAATATTAAAATATAATCTGGAGTGAGGCACGGGTATAAATATTTATAATATTAGACTTTTCTCAGCCGTACTAAGGGTGTCCTTGTGGGAGGCGTTAGGAGCAATCGACCCTCTATAATGTTTTCAAATATAAATATAATGTGTGTATCTATAATAACTACACACATCATTATATTTTATATGATAAATCGTATATAGTTGAAGACATTACCCTTAAAAATTAAAAAATTTTCCCTGGTTCCCGGCAAATGGGGAAAATCTCCAAAAAAATTACAAATTTAAAAATCGGTAAATTTTGTCATTTTTTTCACTTCTTAAGATTTCCCTAACTTTTTCAAAAATCAACAAATCAAAATAATATTTTTTTATATTGAAACCTTAGGTAATTTCCTTTCGTTTGATATCATTTTTTTTGAAAATCTAACACTTATTCTGCTCACTGGGGGGTATTAAAAATAGCAACTTTTTTACAAAAACTAACTTTTTTAACTTAACTTTTAATGATGTTCCGGAAATACTGCGTCCTTTAAACATATATCAAATTAAAGCTTAGGTTATGTACTATAAAATTTAAAAAAAAATTTGTCCCGACTATCTATCTTCTATGCGCAAATGGCTACCGTATTCAAAAATATGCTATTTTTGTGTTAAAATTTTGGGTTTTGAATTTTATTTTATTTTAAAATATCTTATAAGGGCAATACACTAACTTTCATGAATATTTTATAATTTAATTGACATAGAATAAAGTTCATAAGACATAAGAAATTAAACTTATTAAAATTTTTTTATTTTTTTAAAGTCGAAAAAGTAATTTTTAAATTTGAGTTAGCTTAAATAACCAATTTTATCTAGCGACGAAAACAATAAATAGTTGCCGAGTCGGTAATACAAGAATTCGAAAATTTGTCTAATTTCTGGCATTCTAATATATGTATATATTTTTGTCACTTTTGTTCATATGTACATAAACAGATGTAAACATTGCTAAACTGATTTTTTTTTAAATAAGATACTATAAAAATTTTGTGTTAAATTTAGCTATAAAATTTATCTTTATGCTATTTGTTCATCGTTACGTAATAAGTTTATAAATAACAAAACTGATGCAAGTTAAAATTCTCTTAATACCAACATTAATAAATGTTTCTTGAAAAAAAATATTTTTTTATTATATTTTATTACTAGTCATATTATGTGTATTAATACAATTTATTTCTAATCTCACACATGTGGAGAACATCAATTAATAGATGAAAATTAGATTGGGCATATTATTTCGAGCGTAGCGAGAAAATTTCTTTTTAGTCTTTGGAAATGGAGCACTCCTAAGTTTAAAACACTATTTACTCTAATGTACTCAAAGTAATTAATGGAAATATTTTATTTTCAACTTTCATAAAGTTCATAAGAAATATCCCCTTTCAGTGTTAGTTAAAGCACGTTTAAAAAAAAACCGTTTAAAATTTCCAGAAGAAATAATGTAAATTTTTTAATTTTTGGTGTTTTAAAACATAAGAATTCAGCTCCTCCTCGCGGTCACATGTAAATTAATTTTGTTGGCCTATCTGCACCTGTTTACATATTGTAGCATTATTTGCAAATTTTTTATTTTAGTATGGAAATAAAAAACTTTATTAATGTCATCATTGAAATAAATTTACTACAACTATTCTTTTTTTTAATAAAAAGATAGTTATAAAAAAATAGATTCATAACTTTTTGAAAATGAAAATGGCAATAATACTAAATATTCAAGTGTATTTATGTATGTTTTTCGCTTTTTTACATACTGAAGGAACACGTAATAAAAAAGAAAATAGGATTATCATAAATAATTTTCTACGTCATCCAGGATGGAATAATATAAATGATGTCGAATTAATTAAGTATAGGAACAATCAGCATAAACTGTATGATTTAATTTCTGAAACGGTAACATCATTAAATTGTGATACTTGCATACGGCTAGCAACGATATTTCTTGGATGTTCTTACGCTAGTGATTTAGATTTAATGAACACTTAATTTACTAAATTTAAAGAACTTTGTTTAGAACAAATAGGTTCTAGTTATGCTAATGCGTACAGTTGTACAGTCACACTTTTAACGAAAATGATTGAAATTGTTCCGATGGCAAAATATATGAAAGGAGCTTTAGATGCATTAGAAAAATATCATAATGTTTACCAGATCTGCGTAAGAAGATACCGTTTAATTTTAATCAGTTTACTAACAAAAATACAGGAAGAAGAAACTTACTTGAATAAGTTGATAACCAGTTCGCTTCCAATTAAGGAAGTACTAAAGACTATAGCGAAAATATTATCGGCAAGGAGTGATGAACTTGGTGTAGATAAGTCATTTTGTAAACTAAAACACTTGGATTTTGATTTATTGTGGAATTTATGGATTACAGAATCCAATACATTAATTGAACAAAGAAAATTTCAAGAACTATTTATTTTTCTTAGTGGTAAAATTAGTAATTTTATCCAAACAACAATCACGAAAAAATATAGTGAACTTGGATTTATATATGATTGGAACACTAGTCAGACATTTTTACCTGTTCAACCATCTACCAGTGACAATCATGGTATAACTATTAAAGCAATATTACATTTATTTGAAATAATTTGTTGTTAACATATTTAGATATCGCACAAAATCCTTCTACAAATTTTACACAAAATACCAATTATGTAAATACGCAAGAAGCAATCCAACAAAATGGTAAATTTTCCCTAATACTTGACAGTACCACTATTTTTTAATCTAAATAAGTTTTAAATTGACCTAACAACCATTTTATTTCGTTTAGATATTACAACATACCCTTCGATACAACATACTAATAATGTAGAGACACAGGAAAATATTAGACAAGAAAGTAATGATTTTATAATACATTAAAATACTTTTTACATAATTTATCATTTGTGCCTAATTAATTGAATAAAATTGAAACTATATTAAAAATATCATTAATTTAAAAACTAAAAAACATTTAACACAAAAGCCACAAAAAATTACTGAAAATTCGCGGATACGTATTTTGGAGACAATGTTACCAATATCAACGCTAAAAACTTACTAATACTACTTAAATAGTCGGTATTTAGGATTTATAATGGTAACATTGTTTTCGAAATACGTATCAGTGACTTTTCAGTAATTTTTTGTGGCTTTTGAGTTATTTTTTAATTATTAAATTAATAATATTTTTAATATAGTTTTAATTTTATTATTGAGCTTTAAATAATGGTTTAAGAAAAAAATTGAAAATCACTTTTTGCAAAATAAGTGATATTTTTTTTTTATCTAAAATTTTTTTATTTATAATATTTTATAAATTATGATAATAGTTAGTCATTTTCTAAAAATATACAGCCAAATTCAAACTTTGACCATAAGTTTCCATATTTTAACATAATCGGATTGGTCTCAAATTTTGCAGAGATAATTTTTTTACTGGTTATAATAAAAAAAAACGGCCCTCGAAAGAATTTGAAAATTTGTCGAATTTCTGGCATTCTAATATATTCTATACTCCTTAATATACGTATATTAGGGTGGATCAAAAAAATTCGATCATTGAAATTTTAATGAGAACAGTTTTAACTTTATTATAACATTATAATAGGTATTTTGTGGTATTTTTTGTGGCTTTGAGTATAATATTTTTAATATTTTTTAGTTTTTTTAAATTAATAATATTTTTAATATAGTTTTAATTTTACTTAATTAATTAGCCACAAGTGATCAATTTTTATTATATTTTGTGAAAATTTGAAATTTTTAAAAAAAAGTTTACCAGTCACTCAACGTGCTTTTCGTATTTTGATCAAAAATAATCGGAAAACCGGCTTCTGTTTTATAATTTTTGTGCAAATATTATAATTAGTATATCAGAGTAGTTTGATTTTTAATTTGTAGAATACAAATTTTTTTGTTTCAAAATATTTAGTCGAAAATTAATTGCGTGGATATTTAATGCTATTATATTTTATATTTCTAGTAGGTCTAGTAAGCTAAAAATTTAAAAAAAATATATTTTTATACAGTTTGGCTGATATTTATGTATATTATAAAAATAAAAAAAAATTATTCACTAATCCTAAAAACTTATACCATATTTTAAAAATAAAGCATTAGCCAATATATATGATATTCTTGAAAATATTATTAAATGACGGTTGATCATTAAACACTTTTTAATTATTATTTTATTATTAAACAGTTCATTTATACTAACTAGAATAGTTTTTGTTTTAGTTGGTCTGTTTGGTCCATAGTGAGCACCTCATACCGAATTGTCTTGATTTGGTTTACCCATCTAAGTGTTATCACCAAAGTGTTTACTGACTACAATAAATAAAATAAACAAATAAATGAGAGTATAAATTTAATTACAAATTATGAAAGACCAGTTAACTTATGTGAAGTCACATGTTTACTTTATTTTAATAGTAATATTTTGAACGTTTTACTGTTTTATTTAAATAATTAAATTTTTTTTAAATAAAAGTTATTAGTTCTAGTTCATATTTTACTTTTATTTATAAATAAAGTTATCGTTTACCCCTCTCGTGAAACCTGGATGTTTAAAAGTTTAAACTTTCCATTAACAGTAAAAAACCGTTTTTTTTTTTTTTTTAATTTGTCTCTATGGTTATAAAATAATGTACTATTGTTTTATTCAATTAATACGGAACATAATTTCACAACTCTATTTTTAATAATTTATTTTTGTTTAATTAGATAACAATTGTGAAGAGAATGATGATTCAGGCGAACTAATTATTTATCCCATTGGCCGGGAACCATTTAATAAATACCTTAATTAATTATTAATTATTAATTAATAAATTAATTTTCTTGTGCTAAATTTTTCTCATAGTTCCATTATTATATACAATAATTGTGTTAATTTAAATGCATGATTTAAATATTTAATAAAAAACAATTAATTATTACTAACATTACATTTTATTAGTATTCTCAAGAAATACGTGTTACTTAACAATGTGTTAACTAAACATTATTTAAACGTGTTATAATTATACATTAATAATAATAAAAAATTTAAGTAAAATTTTTGTATTGTAATAACATAATAAATAATAAATAATATTGTAATCACTTCTAAGTTTTAATATTATTACTTATTATTAAAAATAAGTATTTACATATAAAAAATAATTAAGAACAATAAAAAATTTCTTTAAATTATTTTATTTATTTATTTAAACTGATTTTGATTATTAATATGTTACATAAAAGGAAAATGACATATTTAACCTGTTTTTTAATCATTTAAAGTTGATTTTTGTTAAAGTTTATAATTAAAAAAAACTAATTTATTACTATAAGTTTTAGCTCAATTTGCAAATTTGAAATTGACATCATTAAATAGGAAATTTTGTGATAATTAAAAAAATTGTATTGTTAAGATTAATATACAGTCAGGAAATGTACATGGATGTTCTAGATAATATTTAACACTTGTAGTTTAAGTTTATCACCAACTCCTTTTTCAACACACAAAATAGGAAATCTTTCTATGAAAATGGTTTCTAATTTATACAAATAATTATAAATATCTTTATGAGGCATTTGTAAATTTGTACACTCACAGACCTAAAAAATAAACATGTAAAACTAATTGTTTAATTTCATTATTATAACGATATCCTTCTTTTTTCTTATTCTTCAAATTGTAAATAATGTAGGTGATAAATATTTCTTACTTCGTGTTGGATAATTTTCTACTTTTTTGATTTTTATCTCATTTATATTCAAAATCGTCTCATCACTGTAGTCGCCCCTCGTGAGAAGAAATTTCTTATTCATGTTAAAATTATTTTACTATATTTTAAGTTTTAGCTTCGATGCAAAAGTGAGAAGAAATTTTTTTGTGACTATCATTTATTTTCTCTGCTCTAACTTGACCTACTTTTTTCAACGATACGCCAAATTATTACAATCTGTATCTAGTTGAAGTATTACCCTCAAAAATTGAAACAAAATTCTAATTTATCAATTAACCAGTTACTTATCCATACAGACAATTAAAATAATTTATTTATATTGTTTTCTAAGTATTTATTGACGAATCAAGTTTGACATGATAATTTGATATGATAGGTTTCAACTACAAAATTAAATCATTTTATTTTATAAATTAATAATTGTTTTACTCTATTTGTGTGTGCTACTACTAGACTATAATATTGCAAATTTTTGGTTAACATGTTGCTATATAAATCATTTCTAAAAAAAAAAGGTTGTTAGTTTCTCCTGAATTAACAATAAATTTTTACAATTATAATCAAATTTTATAATTCGCTGAATTGAGTAAATATTTTTAACAACTTTGTTTTTATTGGTTCATTTAGTTAAAGAAAATCATTAAAATTAATTAAGTTCTGAATACTTCAATTGCAGAATTTGTTTTAAACACCAGAAGTTACTAGGAAATTATTACTATTACTTCTATTTAAGTTATCTATTACGATAAAAATGCAAAGAAATAATGAGTTTTTCTGATAAATATACTGTAAATAGTAATTATAAAATTTCCTGACTGCATATTAATCTTATACATACCATTGTTATAATTCTCATTAAATTTTCTATTTAATTATGTCAATTTCAAACTTGTAATTGAGCTAAAAGTTGTGGTAACAAATTCAATTTTTTTACTATAAACTTTCACAAAACTTTATCAAAAAATTTTCATCAACTTTAAAGAACCAAAAATTTAGGTTAAAAATGAAAGTTGGGACTGATTATTTTTAACATATTAAAAATCAAAATCATTAATAATTTAAAAACAAATTTTTTTTTTATTTAATTATTATTTTATATGTAATTAGTAATAATACAAAAAATTAGAAGTGATAGAAAAAGTCTAATTGCAGATTTGAAAACATCGCGAAAAGTTGATTTAGAATGGTATATTTTTGTTACTGATGAAAGTTCCTTGTAGTCCAGTGCATTTATTTATAGTAACAAACAGTTTTTATTGAAAAATATTGCATCAAGCCCTTTACATTTTTATACACGTAAAAGTAAAGCAAAATATAACTTCTTTATTATTTTTATAATTTCTCTGTATAAATTACAATATTAAATTATTCAATATCATTTTAATATTAAATTTAATAACTATAATTAGTATTTATTCATATATTATATTTTAAAATCAAAGAACTACTAATCAGGATATAATTAAAGAAATAAGAGTTGATGTTGTTTTTGTAATCACCCACCATTTTCTTAGAATTAAATACTATCTACAGATTTGCATCGAAGCGTTTCTTATTGTGATGGTGTCACGTTTTCATAATCGTGAGAATTATTTTAATAAAATACAGACAGCACATCCGCTGCCTGAGACTGGTGAATTAACAAATAATATTTATTGCCAAATCGGCAATAGGTGTAATTATTATAAAAACCCAATAGACCTGACCATCATGGTCAGTCGACTCCAGTGCCTTGTGTCATTCATCAGTCTCAGTACTCGGTTGTCGTTGTCCGGCTTACTGTTTAAAAGTAAAGTCTTTGTTCATTCCTTTTCTAACCTATATACTCTTTTCCTCGACATTTCAGAGTTTTTGTGTCTTGCACTTCGTCTGCACCTTATACTCAGCTATCCCGTTCTCTCTTTGAAGTACTTGTGTCTTGCACTTCGTCTGCACCTTATACTCGGCTATCCCGTTCTCTCTTTGAAGTACTTGTGTCTTGCACTTCGTCTGCACCTCGTACTTCATTGTCCTCTCCTATACCCCAAGTATTTGTGTCTTGCACTTCGTCTGCACCTCATACTTTGGGCTCCTTTTGCGTACACCTGGTATTTGTGTCTTGCACTTCGTCTGCACCTCATACCTAGGTGTTACTCTTATTCTCCCTTCCTATAACAACAGCCTTTCGACACCCACAGCTAACCCGGAGTGTCAGCCGAGCACGGTGACTGCTGTACGACAACACGCACGTGAATACCTAGACAGCAGGCACCACCTCCTCATATTCATCTTCGTACACACACATTTTCACATTCACACATTTGCACTTTTTTTTACCTTTTTCTCTTTTCTGTGTTACGACATTATGATAGTGATTTTAATCACTATTAGATATCATCTACACTTGTCCCATCTATGCCTCGACCCCACTGTACTACCGTTTTTTTCTTCATTATATATTTAAAAAAATTTATTAATCATGAATTTATTGCTAACATATTTTTTTATTCAATAAAACATTGATTTAAATATATAGAACTTGTTTTTCAAACTAATGTACAATACCTTATTTAAACTTTTACAATTTTCTATCGAAAATGAATAAATAATGTGTAATTTACTTCATTGATAAACAAATAACAGCAAGTACAACCAAAAAGTTAAAATTTAATTTAGATTGTACATCGTAATGAAAATCCAACTGTACCGACCACAAATTATAGCTTCATATATTATAGATAAAACTCACTAAACTTGGTTTTATAAATGCTTTAAAATGAAAAGTAAACAGTTACTATATTATAACCAGTTTTAATGTGAGTTCTTATGAAAAATAATTTATAAAGTTCATATAATTTTTATACTAGATATTTGACATATAATATTTATTTAATTAAGATTATTTCAATTTTTTTTATGACATTTCAATGGATGCATATAGCAGGTGAATTAAAATAAATATAAAGAATTACATCTTGAAATTTAATTTATTACTTTACAGTTATTCTAAACTAAAAATGAAACAAAACTATTTATGTATTTTAAATTGATAAATTTATAAAGATTTTAGATTAAATTTTGAGAAAAGTATCCTAATTTTTTTTTTATAATAAGTTATAAGGTATGTAGTCAGTCATGTACTTCGGTGAGAATACAGGCTCTCTTTTAGAAGTTTCATTTGTAGTTTGTTTAAACTGATGATTTTGAATTTCCTGACTGACATCGAAATCAAAATAGAAATCATTTATTAGATCGTCAACATCAAACTCAAATTCATCATTTACAACTTGATCGACTGTAGTTTTAACTTCATCCTTCTGTTTCTTATAAAAATCAGTATATTTGTCAATGTTGCAAATATATTCTAAAAAATTAAAAATTGTATTGAATTTATTCTATTTTTTAATTTATATATTATATTTTAATTCAAAATAATGCTACTCAATGCCCGTAAATAAAAAAAATTTTAAAGTAAAAACTTATTTAATTTCAATTATTCATTTTTAAATATTATTAATAACTTAAGCATTGTTGTTAACACAATAAATAATTATTGGTTATTTTTATCAAAGCTATACTAAATATAAGTCTTAAATTTATTGAAATTAGTCAGCCTGTTTTTTATTTTTTCGGCTATGAAATACAAATATTTTATTTTGTTATAGTTTGATTTTTTATAATTAGGACATTTTATAAATTTTTTATCAACAGTGATTTATAACAGTTTAAAAATTCTAATAAATCACTTATGAGAATCGGTAGTTGCGAATTAGGTATAGCAGATTTGAAAATATTCCACTCCACTGATATAATTCTCCTCAATGTTTAAGTATTTGACAGAACAGTGATTATTTAAGTCTTACAGCAGTTGGACTATCCTTAGTAAATAATTTTAATACCTACCTTACTATTTGAAGATTGATAAGTTATTAAAAACCCAATTATAAAACTATTACTCAATTTCACAATTGAGGCGGGATTCATTAAACATTTACTTGTAGAATAGATTTAACTAATATCTCTTACAATTTTTGATACAATTATTATTTAGATGTAATTATTTTAAAACAATAATCTTAAATTATGTTAAATACCTATTTTTTATTTTTTGATCTAAAAAAAAAAATTATTCTTTTTTAATTTTTAGTATTTTATAATAGTTACATTTTAGCACTTTAAAAAAAAGTACTTATCGGCTTATAACAACTTAAGTATTAGCAAAGATGGGCATAATAATGGAATTAAATAACTCAAGTTAAGTATGATCAATGTAGATAAATTAACAGTTAAAAGTTAACAATTTATAAATTTAACTAGCTAAGTTAAAAAATAAATTAAATTTTTTTTTTAACTTAACTAGTTTAAAAAAAGTTTATTTCATTTAAAATTAATTTTTTGGCTAAAATCTCTTAAAATCATTTTTATTAGCCGGTGATGTAAGGAAAAGTTAAGAATCGATTTAAAATTTTTAAAATTGAATCTTCCTCTTCTTTTCCTCGCCTTAATCCAAACTACTGGGGTTCGGCCACCCTTATCCTAAAATTCCACTTGACACGATCTCTCTTATCATCGACGTTTACATCAGCGGTCCTTATATCACATTCAATAACATCCTTCCATCTCATTTTTGGTCTTTCTTTACCTCTTCTTGTAACTAAATAAATAATTTTTCTAAAATTGTATCAAATCGTTAAAATGTTGTTAAAAATTTTTTTTTAAATATGTCTATTTTGAAAATTTGAAAAAAGTGTTTTTATATATTTTATTATTAAAACAAATAATAAAATATATGCTTTTAATATAGTATAAAAAAGAAAAAAACGGGTCATAAATGGGTTAAAATAGTTACTGTGGAATTATAGTTGTATAAAAGATTGTAATAGTTATCAATTTAGATCTGTTTCAACTGGTATTTAGTGAATTATTACGAAACCTATACATTGTGATTCATTTATCATGAGCCATTAAATTGGTTAAACAATAATTCTGGTTTCTTTTACGTATGTTTTTTTTTCAATTTTCATAAAGTATTTTTTATGATATTATTATACCTTGGGTGAAAGGAAGAGTACAACAGGGATAGACTAGTGATAAAAATAACAACACCCGCGTCTCACCCAAGTCATTACTATAAAATATTAATAACTTCTGAAATACTGATCCAAAAGTTTTTGTTGTTGTCGACCGCTATCATGATTGATACATTAAGAAAAATCATGTACCTATAAGAAACCTCCAAAAAAATTCTTAATTTTATATTTACTTTTTAATTAATTAAGTGGTTTATGAAAATGGAACTTTCTATATATAGAGTAATTCTTTTAACATCTACCACTTGATTAAATTTAATTGATCTAATTAAAAAAAGAAAAAGACTGATCCATAACAATTTTTTATATATTACAAGTTATTAACACTTTTATACCTTAATGGGAAAGGAAGTGAAGTTGGAAATGTCTAGTAATAAATATAGCAGCACATAAGCCTCAACTCTAGTCATAACTTTATAACCGAATAATTATAATTTGATAGAGATCTCCATAATGAACCTATAGGTCTTAGTACATAGACAGTTCATGCCTACTTTTATTGTAAGTAAAACTTCTCACTTAAGTTATTCATTACTGTAATATAAACTTACTAAATACTTTCAAAATCCATAATTTTAATGAAAAAAAAAATTAAATTTTTTACTTACTTCGATTGTAATCATTAATAAAGTCCTTGTACTTTCTGATGTATAGATATTCAAAATAATAAGTGTTATTAATAGTGTCAAACATATTTTTAAAATTTTTTAATCGTGTTATATATTCCGAAACTTTAAGTGAATATTTTTCTATCTTTGAGTATATGCTGTAAACATTTCCATCTCCAACTGTTCTCGCTTTAAAAAAACTATTACTATGACACAATTTATTAATCATTAAAAAATGTCGTATTGATGCAGGAATCCTATCTAGTGTCTGATCATAGTGAACATTCGTTTGTTCATAATAGTTGATTAATTTATTCAAACTATTATATGTTTTTGTAATGATATTTAGTGAAAAACCTCTATACAAATCTAATTCAAGGAAACAATTTAAATTGTTCACAATACTTTCACCAATAGTTATTAGTTGCTTTTTATTTAATTTATTTAGTTTTATAGCTTGTAATTTAACTGATGTTATATAATTCTTCACGAATAAACAATATGATCGGATAAGAACACCCAAAGGTTGAAATGAAGCTGTTAACATTAATTCCTGAAATTTTAATACGTATGTACTGTCAAAACTATATAAAATATAACGGAATACACAGAATACAGTTGAAAAAACAGAATCTGAGCATTTCTCTTTATATGTTGTATATCTCAATAGATCTATAACGTCTCCATTTTCCATAATGCAATGTACTAAATTATTAATATCTATCATATGAAATTGTTTATTATCTTGACGAGAAAATAAATCATAGAAAAATAAATTTTTTGGGTCGAAGTTCCTGTAGCTATTTGATTTAAGTGATGATATTAGTACACTCAATACCTCACTTTCTTTAAGTTTTACGTCATGTTCATTATAGTCATTTAGGTTTTGATTTGAATTTGTTATTCTGTTTTTGAGATTTCCGGCTATGGAACGTAGAAATTTTATATTATAATTACCAGGTGTGTTATAGTCCGGACATTTGATAAATTCTTCTTCGACAGTGACTTCTAAACAATGATTATTAATGAAGTTTTCCAGACGTTCAACCATTACTTGGTGAAGCATTTTATACCCTTTAATTATATTTGTATGATTCATATCGTAGTTACCTACATTATTTCTAGCGACAAACATTAAAGATCCTGAAACATTGTTAAAGTATAAATTGATTGTCATCAAATCATTTGGAATAGATTTTAGATCCATTAAATGTAGTGCGTCCAACATAGCCATAACAATATTTCCATGTGTTTGTAAAGCTTCACCATAAGTTTTTAGTTCATTTAAGGTAACTGGAAAAATTTTGTTTTGTTTTTCGAGTTTAATCAAATATTTCTCATTATGTTTGAAAAAATTTAACATGTAATTGGAAAAATTACAATGCAGCTCTAAATGTGACAATGCCAAAGAAAATGATAGTAAATTGAAAAATTTAATTAAAATGGATATGCTCATATTAACAAACTTTAAAATTAAAGGTAAAACAGTATTCAGCTAAAATGTGAGTTATAACAGAAATGTAAAAAAACAAAATATGTTGAGTTTGTTGAATTTTATACTGAATAATATATTTTTGTATTTATTCACTTGTAATAGTGTGTGTTATTTGTCATTAATTGGTAATAATTTTTTTTAGACAAATGTAATAAATTTATCTATTTTTGCATTGGCATTAGTTTTTTAACATTAGGTTTTACTATGTCATGTTTTTTTTGATAAGATGATATTTAGTTGAACCTAAAATTAGCGATCGAATATTTTATTTCCTATCTCCAAAGATTGTGATTTTTCCGGTCCCTCATTTCGAATTTTATTTAAAATGAAAATAACCGTCACTTTAATGGTTTCACACGAAATTCTCATATGAATTGTGTAGTCACTAGATATTTTGTTTATTTCACGATTTTATTTCGTCTTTTATTATTTATTTAAATCGATTATAATTTTTCCCATTAATACTGTACTAGACTAAACTACTATAAATTATAATTTGTTTTTTACTTTTCAAGTCTGGAAAATAAAACAATCACAAGGTTGAAATGAATATTTGAGCTGGATATTTTAACATCAATTTTGGTTTAGTGATTTAAAAGCAGGACGATAATCTTGTGGTATTTTTTTTCTCAATGCGTTGTCTTTTAATATGTAGTAGTTTTAAAATATGAGTGGATTTAGTTAATAATGATATTAAAAATATACAAAATATATTATATATATTATAAAAATATTTATGCATAGATCATTATTCAATAGTCACTAATTTAGTTGCAAAAAAATATCAAACAACATGTAAGCTAAACTCATAATAACCCAATCCAACTTAAACAAGAACTTTGAGGAGAGTCGACCATTGCAAGCCAAAGGCAAAAGCGGAGCATCATAAGTTTTGTACCTTGTCCTAAGAGGATCTATGACTAACAGTTTTGATATTAACATAACAGTTATTAAATAAATTAGTGTTGTCATAAACATAAAAAAATATAAAACAAAATTTAAATAAAACCCAAAGATCATTTAAATCGAATTAAAATAGACAGATCCTAAGAACAATAAGAAGAACATATATATATAATAAAATCATCACAATAAAATATTAAATTTGAAAAGTAGTAATGAAGTTATAGCCAAAGATTTTGGTGATGATCAATTATTTGATTATTTATTTGATTTATTATTTATTATAATAAATAATTATAAAAAAAAACGGTAGCACAGTGGGGTCGCGGCACAGTATGGAAGTGGCATAGTTGGAAGAAGTATAGATGATATCTGACAGTGATTAAGATCACTATCATAAGAAACTCTTCGATGCAAATCTGTAGATAGTGTTTAATTTTAAGAAATTGGTAGATTATTTCAAAAGCAACAATAACTCTTATTCCTTTAATTTTATCCCGATTAATTATTTGATTTACAATTATAATATATGAATAAATAATACTTAAAGTAATTAAATTTAGTATGAAATTGATATGCAATAATTTAATATTGTAATTTTTACGGAGATATAAAAATAATAAAGTAGTTGTATATTTCTTTACTTTTAACGCGTAACTTACAATCAGTTTTTTTAGAAATTATTTATATAACAACAAGTTACCAAAATATTTGGAATGTAGTAGTCTAGTAGTAACACACACAAATAGAGTAAAAAAATTATCAAATTACAAAGTAAAATGATATAATTTTGTAATTGAAACCATCATATCGAACTTGATTTGTTAATAAATACTTTTAAAACATTATAAATGAATGATATTAATTGTCTGTATGAATAACATGGGATAAGTAATTGATAAATTAGAATTTTGTTTCAATTTTTGAGGGTAATACTTCAACTAGATACAGATTGTAATAATTTGACGTATCGTTGAAAAAAGTAGGTCAAGTTAGAGCAGAGAAAATAAATGATAGTTACAAAAAAATATCTTCTCACCTTTGCATCGAAGCTAAAACTTAAAATATAGTAAAATAATTTTAACATGAATAAGAAATTTCTTTTCGCGAGGGGCGACTACAGTGATGAGATCCTTGATCTTTATTGACGTTATTGAATATAAATGAGATAAAAATCAAAAGAGTTGAAAATTTATTTTAACTTAAACAAAATGAAGAGAAAAATGCAAAAAATTCCTTGCCATACGAGGGTGGAAACCTTGTACCTCAAGCGCGTAAGACACAAGTATTACTGACTAGGCAACCTTACTTCGCTTCCGATGACTGATAAAAATGGCAATTTAAGCTAGTTCAAATTTCAAAGTTATTTTTCTCGACCACGACAGAAAAACCTACCACTTCTACGGGTGAAATATGGGCCTACTTCAACCGTAGCCCCATCGTCTGAGGTGATTAGGTGAATAACCCAGAAGAAAACTACGAATCAAGTTCTAAAACTTAAATTAAAACTCCCTCCTTCACTACACTCAGTTAGGGGATCTCTCCCGAGGGATCCAAAAACCGAAGTTGTAGAGATCAGATTTTTAAAAGCAGGTCAGACCTAAGCTCCGGCAATGTAGACCACAATGAACGCTATAAATCTCATTGTGATTGGCATGGAGCAAATGGACATCCAGAGGACGAGAATAGGAGTGGTACTTTTGAAAGTCAAAGGAGCAGCGTGGATATTTCAGCGGAAAAATTCGGTGGCGCTCCAAGGAGTAGGACGTTTTCGTAAACCATCTGATAAAGATATGAAGAGTCATGGACTTCAACGAGAATAATTGAATCAGGAAAGCGGAGATCTACATAGCGATTACTGTCGTCACAAATTTCAATCACTACAATGCTACGCACGAATTTCTTGGTAAAATTTACAATGGCTCTTAATTCAATTAATACGTTTTTTCTATGTCTACATAAATATTCAGATCCCACTGGAACAACATTGTGTCAACAATACGTTAAATTATCATAAATTGCATTCAGTTGACTTTTACTAACGTGATAATAATAATTTAATAAAAGTCACTTAATCTTTGTAAAAAGCAGTTCATATACCAATAAACCAATAAATAATATTTGTTGAAATAATCTAATTATTATACATTTTGAAATAACTGTTAAGTGAAAACCATTTTTTTTTTCAATTAAATATTTCTGTCTTAAACTAATGAATAATATATGAAATATAATATTATTATAAATAACTATAAATATATATATATATATATAAAGACATATTATAATATTACTATTCGTGTTATAATATTATATAAGTAGTATTTTTTTGTTTCTTTAATACATTATGTAGTATTAATATATTGAAGGTTAATAAATTGAATGTACTAATTACTCATAAGCTCTTCTCGATTCACCATCTTAGTACAATAATGTTTTTCTTTTTTGACTCTATAATATAATGGGATACTCCGAGTTTAGCATACTTGATATTTGATGTTCACGGGTATTGACTAGTAGTGTATACGATTTTCAAGGTATATTTTATATTAACAGCTAAATATTTGTCGGAAAAATTAAATGAAGTTAATTTATAATTAAGTTAATTCTTCCATCTACGACTTTAGAAACATTACTATTCTCCTCAAAACTATTAGCCTCAAAGACAAAAATAAATAATATTTATTTTCTGACCATCTATGTTAATAGTTTTAGCTTTGATATGAAACTAAAAAGGTTTAGTTTTACCTTTGTAAGTTTTTTTGTCTGTCCATGAAAATTCTCAGCTCTCTCTAACCAATTTTGTTTATCTATGCGCCAAAAGAAAAAGATTTCTACCTAATTGAACCCATGTTAAAAATTAAAAATCGCTCAATTTTATATATTTAGAAAAATATTTTAAAATTATGTTACTGTAAAAAAGGCATAGAAAACAATTTTCTGCATTTTAAACAGTTACACATTTTTTTAAAAACACTGATCTTAATGAAATTTATAATGGCAATATTAGAGATAGTAATCTTTAATGAAAGATTGCTTTTTATGAAAACCGAATTAGAATTTAAATGAGACCACTCACAGAGACAAAACAATATTTTTAACTTTATTTTTGAGAATGTTCCAGAATGTTTAACAACTTTAAACATATTATAAATTAAAGCGTTTGAAGTGTTCTATAGTTTTAAAAAACACCTTGTTTGATAGTAATATTATAATTATTAAATATGATTTATAGATGTCCCAACTATACCGCGTCCTGAATGTGCTGTTTTTTTTTTTTACTTTTAAAGGGAATTTGAAAATTATTCTGTATTACTTTGAAAAGTATATTATTTGGCGGATTTAATTTTTTTAACAGTGTACACGTTAGCTTCTTTCATTGAACATTTTGTTTGTTGGTACACATTAATATCGAAGTACAGTGTCGCAAACTGTCTTAGTTATGATAACATTTGATCTTCAGAATAGTCTTCGCATATCACTTTATTTTACCTATCGTTTCCATCATACCTTTAAATTAACATTTTTAAAACTAGATTTCTATGCACTATTTCTAGACTCTATGCACTAGAAATTGCATTACAGTTTCTTGTTTAAACGTCAAAATGAGTAAAATTTATAAAGAAGATGAGATCAGTTTAAGAATTGATCGTTGCTTGTATGATTCTGCTATCAAATTTGGTTAGTATCTACTTTTATAAGGAAAAAATTATTATTATCCATAACTCGTTTAAATTTAATAACATTTTGTTAATCCTGAAAATGAAATTTATTAATTTATATTAAAACGCTCTTTATATCAATGGTTTAAGAGCCATTTAATTATTAATTCCAGTGTAGTATACTTATACACCAGAGATGAATTATTACAAGTCCAATTTATATTTTAAATAAGATATGCTAGACTTTGTAAAAATTTAATGAAAGAACATTTCAGATATATTCTTACTTCATTTTCAAAAAGTATACTTGTGATATATATTGTATCTGTAGTTTTAAAAAATGAGTAGATATTATCTTTTTTATTGTTTTTGATTTTCAATTAAATATTTTTTCCTAACTAGGTGCTGGATTTGGTGTAGGTTGTGTTGCATCATTACTCTTTTTCAAGCGTAAGTTCATTTTTTTACCAATTCCTTAATTTATATTTTATTTGAAAATATTTTTTATAGGAAAGAAGTGGCCTTTACTTGTTGGTTCTGGATTTGGATTAGGATTAGCATATGAACACTGTGAAAAAGATTTAAGAGAGTATTTTACTTCTACGTGAAATTTATGTATTATGGCAATAGGAAATTAGCCTTAGACTTCAGGCCAACATGTTATTTTTTGCAATTTTTTTTTTCATGTTCATAATTTATAGATAGAATAATATTGTTTTGGATTATAATTTAAATACATGCAAGTTCCAACTTCTTTTAATGTATATTTTATAATTAACATATTGCAAAAAAGTTATTAATTTATAAATTACCCTTTTCTATTCATACAACAGTAAAATATTTTTAATTATTTTCTAATAATAGTCAACAAAATTAATAATTGGTTTGTTCATTATGAAAAAGTGTCATATGAATTTTTATATTTTGTACATTACTACAGAAATATTCACATAAATTACACTGTAGATCTTGATATAAACATTTCTTATTGGGCAGTACAAGTTTTCCTGTTGTTTGTAGTTCAGAAATTATCTCTGAAATCATATTTGAGTATAATGAATAAAATTTTATTTTAATTAAATAGCTTCTCAAATATTATAATAGTTACTAAATGAAGATAAAAGGGTAATAAATCTACAAAATTAAAAACTTTATAAATTGTTATGAGGATTATTGTAATTATCAAAATTTAACATTATTTTATAATATATCATTGGAATAAATTAATAAATTTTGTTTGAGTCATTTTCAAATAAATGGTTCAAATTTGTTACCGGAATATATTGTAGAAATAATTAATTTTTTAGGGAAGAATAAACCATCTAATCACATTATACACTAACTCCGATCAGATCACACTACTAAATTTTCAAGCATATTCATACAAATTTGTACTAGCTGATGAAGTATTTGGAATAACTTAACAAAATTTATAATTGAACATAAATCTGCTCTATATATCATAAATAAATTTAATAATTGATAATAACATTGTTGGACTTAAATATAATTGAAATTTGGATACAATGGAAAATAGGAACAATGGCTATTCCACAAAAGCAGGATTATTTTTTAAAAATAGTCCCCCTATACAATATTTTCCATATTACAAAAAACATTATATAACCGGGATAAGTGGTAGCCGATTAAAATATCAATAAGAACATAAAAAATAAAAATTTTATAGGTAAAAATGTCCAGATTGTAAAATACCCTAGTATATTGTAATTTTATACATTTTAATATAAATAATATTTAATAAAAGTTTTCTTAAGTCTCTATTTTGTTATAATACTCCTCTTAAAATTATTCGAATAGAACTATTTTATAGGCAATTTTTTTAAACAGACTAAACAAATTATGCATGATATTTTAAATAGAACTTTAAAATTAGCAGTATAAAAGAATTATAAAATCAAATAACTTGTTGTATTTTAAGTTATATTTACTAATATATGATTCATTAAGAATGACTTTAATTGGCAGTATAAATCACCATTCAATTTTACTAAATATTTTCAGAACAATGTTATTTAATGAAAATAATATATTTTTTATTACTACTATAAAATTGAAAAAAAACTTACTATAAGTTGGTATAAAGAATTCTGTATGAAATGAATTCCATTGATAAGTAGCTTTCATATGTGAGCCATTATAGTCTTTACTTAAAACATGTAAATGCAACCTATTCATTGATGGATAAGCATGATACCCAACTCTGTAATGATTATAGCAAATAGAATACAAATTAATGTTACAATGTTTACAATAGCAAATTTATTGTCAGTTATAATAATTTTTTTCAAAAAAACTCGAGAAATTTAAATTATTGTATTATACTTTAAAGGAGTTATTAATTTGAAAACAGAATAATTTAATTAATTGCTGACAATACATATTTGTTTTTCATAAATATAATGAACTAACTTACTGAAAATAATGTGAAGCCATTCCAGTTTTTTTTATTACAAATTCTAAACCTTTAAGTTCCATATAGATAAGACAAGGTATGTGATGAGGTTTGAGGCTTTTAACATCCTGAATATTTTCTTTTGGTAACACTAAGTAGTGGTGAATTGATTTTGGATATAAATCAGCAATAATAGTTACTATATCGTCTGAGTACAGTATATTTACAGGGTTATTCATGGCTAAAATTAAATTATTTTTTAAAGGAGAATCATTGAAGGCCATAATATAAAACGAGAAAATATGGCATAATATAGAAAAAATGTATTATTTTAAGTTCGCATTTTGCCTGCCAAACTATTCAAATAACCTAGCCTACAAAAAGTTTAGTATCGATATTTGAACATTTTTAGTTTAAAAATTGTTTTAAATGTCTAGTGTTTTATGACTACTAATTCGATTTTGTGGAAAAGAAATACGAATTTATCAATTTCTTACTTGTTGAAAACTAAATAAACAACAATTACTTAATACTACTGGCTAAAAGCTACTTAGAAAATCATAATGAAGATTTGATATATTTGAGTGTATAAAAAATACTTCCAATCATAATATCGGTAAGAAGTACACGTAACAAGTGAGACTTGTCAGTCAATTTATTTAAAGAATGAAATAACTTTGAATAAAAACAGTTTTTTACAAAGAATTAATGATAACATCTGGAAACATGAACGATAATCATAACTCAACGACTTAAACAAAACACATGTTCTTTAGAACAATTATATAATTTAATCTTTTATCGACAAAACCAAACACAACTCCGGTAATAGTATTTTGTGTTATCTACTAGTAGATAGCATATTATATTGTGCGTAGTATGTAAGGAAATGAAAAATTTATGGGATTTATGTTTTTCGTTCAAAAGAGTTTTATTTATAAAAAATATTAGTTGTGATATTTGTAAAAAATCATGAATATAATCCCTATATAGAATTATCAAACTATAATTAAATAGTATTCAATATCGTCACAAATTAACAGTAATAGCTATGACTGACAAGTAAGTTACTACAGAATATACCATATACTACGAAATGTTGATAAAAAAAATTATTTAGTGGTCAATTAATACCATTAATACAACTTACAATTAAATAAATTTGTTTCTAATCAATTTTCACTTCTTTCTGGAAAATTTTATTAAAAATTATATTGTGACTATTCTATTTAAGTTTACCTAAATATTTAGGCATTTTGTAAAAATGAAAATGCATTATATTATTATTAATTTAGTTGAATTAATATTATTTTAACTAGTCTTAATTAATACATTTATAAATATTACTTTAAATATTAACATTTATTATGAAAAGTTATTGTTTGATATAGGATACTCAATTTAGTTTTAAAAAAGTTAAACAAATCAAGGAACCACACAATTAGTTAAAGATATCAATTTTTCAAAGAACTACAGTTTTTATAAATAATTTTACTAAAGATTTTGGAATATTAATTATTTGAGTCCTTTCATTTAGTCAAAATTTATATTAGATATTAAGTTTTGATAAAAAATGTGATGCAATGCCTTGTAAAATAACTAATTAATTACTTAGCAAAATTAAGTTGTCTATTATTAATATAAATTTAACAAAATATTTATAAAATTTATTTCTTATTCTAAGTGTTAATTGATGTATACAGGTTGATTCACTTATCACGAACTACTTATTTAATCAAAAAATAAAAATAATACTAATAATTTTTTTGTTTGTGTGTTATAGTTCATTATTACTCTCAATTTTTCAATTGTAAAGTTTTTTTTATGTTTATCCCTTCATACCATATAATGTGTAAACTTCAATTTCTCAAATTTATCTACTGACAAATCTGTGAAAAGAAAATTTTTAATTTGATAATTAAATAACAAAAATATTAATCATTTTATTTTTTTTTAGTTACATACTATTTTGAATTTAATAAACAAGTATCTTTTATATTCATTCCTTATACCTTATAAAGGTGTCAATTTTGTTTTATCAAATGGTAACATACATAATTAACTAGTTTATTTATTAGATAATGATCTAATAAAGAAAATGATGAATCAGTAACAATTTTTGGACCAGTATTTCGAAAATTAATAACAATTTTAAGTAATGATTGAAGGTGATGAATGTGTGCTGTTATTTTTATAACTAAACATTTCCCGGCCATACTCTTTCTCTCACCTATATATAAATATGTCAATACTTTCCAAAATAGATTCTGAAAGTCATTTGTTCAAACAGTCATTTTCTCCTAATTAAAAAGTTAATTAGGAAAGTTGTTATTTGAGAAATTAAAGCTGACACTTTACTTGATAAGGTATAAGTGATGAAGATAAAAAAAACTTAAGGGTTGAAAAATTGAGAGAAACATTAAACTCAAAGAAACATGAAAAATTATTAATATTATTTTTATTTTTTGATTAATTAAGTTGTTTATTATAAGTGAATCACTTTGTATTATTGATTATTCTCAGAAATAGCACACCAATAGAACCTTATTTTTTTTTAATTCACTTAAAATTATTAAATGATATTTTCTTGGGGAAAATCTATTAGGTGATATTTATTTGAAAATCAATTATAAAATTGATAAAATAAAATAAAATTTATTATAAAGTTGTTATGTGTTAAGTAATACCTGTCATTATTTCTTAATACTTTTATAATAATGAAATAATTCTGTATAGTAAATCAGAAGAAGAAAATACTATTTACTCAGAACCAAAAAATGAAGGAGGCTGGTGGGACACATTATATTCTGCTGCCAGATCAAAAGTAATTAATAATTTGTAATAAATGTCTTTCTCTAATTAAGGCTTAATAATTTTTTTATTTTATTTTAGTCAGCTGAAGTATTTGAATCGGTAAAACGTGATCTTGGAGAACTTACAACTATAGTTACTAACGAAACTAGTAATATTGTTTTAAATACAACTAATGTTGTTAAAGAAACTCTTCAGGTACAAATTAATTTTTATTAATATATAAGTTTATTAATAATTGTAAAATGAATTGTTCAGTATTAATAATATAATGTTATTACTTTTTATTTTAGTTAGAGAATCCTGACTCTACTGCCAATACAATGAAAAAATCTGTGAGCACATTTTTGGATCAAGTTACAAATGCTCTTCATCCATTACCAGATGATGATGATGAAGCATTATTAGTTGTGGGTTCTGATACAATTCCTCTATCTAGGCTTCAAGTATAAGATCATGTAATTTTTTATGTAATTATTATTAAGATAAATTACTATTTAATTAGGCTCAAATTTATACATTGGCCAATGATCCAAATACTTTTTTAATGGAAATTGATGGCCAACTATTTAAAAGATATAAAGCTTGGCTAGACTGGGTACAAAGTGGAGACAGCAGTTTGCTTTCCAGTGAAAAACTTAACAAATTATTAGTTGATTGCCCTTCATTAAATGATAATTATCAAAAGCTTGTACCAGATTTCATTTCACATGCTGATTTTTGGTATAGATTTCTATTTCGAAAAGCATTACTTGAAGATGAAGATGCTAAGCAGCAGAGACAACTAATGAAGGATAAACAAATAGCTGAAAAAATTGATTTCACCAAAGGTATTCTGTGTAATTTTAGTTAAAATATGTGTTATATTAAATGTCCATTACAGAATTAACACCCTTGTCCGATATAGAACTTTCTGAAAAAGAACAAGAAGAGATATTAAGTCAATATGATCAAGAGAGAAGAAAATTATCATCTGAAAAATCTAGTACTAATAGTCTTCTTGGTGGTAAATTATAATTGTTTTAAACATTTTAATTATAATCTAAATTATAGGTTAATGTATATTTTGTAGACAATAAAAATATTTCAAAACCAAAGCAGGATGACATTCCATCTACGACTTCGTCCGTTACCACATCTAGCTTAGATAAAGGTAAAATTTTAATTTGTTGTATTTTAATTTTAAGTTGTCATTAATTATGAATTCACTATTTTTTGTCTTTAGACGAATGGGTTAAAGATTTTGATATGGAAGATATTGAGCCATCAAGCTCCAAGTAAATTTTACGTGTGTTATAACATTTGTTAGTTATTTGTATGTATAAAACAACGAAAATATTTTTTTTATATATATTTATGTATTATCTTATTATTAAGTTATTTCTATTGTTAATAATATTTAATTTTTTTTTTTATCAAATAAATAAATATGTATGTTATTTTTTAATACATTATATATTTGTCATACTCTAACTCTTATCATAATATTTTTATGACAAAATATTTGAATTTATTAATAGGTTGTAAATTATTAAATATAAAGTAAGATAAAAATCTAACATATGCAGCATAAATTTACATTTATTTTGAGATTGGCTATAATTATTCATAAAACATAATATTGTAACCAAGGTAATTTTTTCTTATGTTTTACAAAAAAAAACAAATATTTGATCATATGGTTAAGAGACAAATAACTGACTGTTAAGTGATCTTAAGCAATAATTAGTATTATTAAGTAATGTCGTAATAAATTAAGTCACATGCCCAGTAATTGATATTTAATTTATATAGTTTATATATTATTGATAAATACAAAGTGTATTTATAATAACAAATAATTTAGAAAAGTATAACTTTTACTAGGATCATTAAATAACCCTTATAGGTTTTCTCAATATGGCCTTAAATTGAAATCAAACCTAAATTTGTAGTGATTTACATTGTTATTGTATCTTAATTATATTTAATAATACAACACATATTATTACATATAATTCAGTCAGGACTTAAACATTTTAAGTAATTTGATACTCGTTAAAACATTTTGTTTGTATAAAATTTAAAATAAAAATAATTACCATAGTATTCATTTAACTTTTATCAATATTGAGGGTAAAAAATGTATACTATTTTTTTTTAATGTCTCAACTGGACATAAAAAATTTTGAATGTATAAGTTCTGTTTGTTATATATATTAAAATTATAATATATTAATTTCTAAAATTAGACTGTTAGAATAATTATTCAAATATTATTGAATAATAGAATTATTTCAATTTTTTAATCTATAGTTGTGTAATTTTAACAAAGTGTCGTTATGAATACACATAGGTGTTCTTAATTTAGCTATAATTTTTTAGTAAGAAGATTTACTATGAAAAAATAAATTATTTATCTTGATTTTTTCGTAGTAATAGGGTAATAATAGAGGATTCAGTTCTCAAAATTAACGCCCCTACTATAAATTAATAACAAACTTGACACTTTCAAAATACTTCGACCATAGAATAATTTATTTATATTTATCTGACATACCTGTATATTAATTAATTTAGACATGACTTAAATAAAGTTATATTTTCTAGGATATTAATTTTTGAAGAACACTATAATTTCCTTTTTACTTCCAATAACATGCAAATATACATTTTAAAAATATTAGAAATCAGCACGGCTGTGATGATCTATGAATTAGAACATGATAAAGAAAATCTACTCGTTGTTATTAAATGTAGAAAATAAATAATAATAATATCGATTTTTAAATTTATTAGAAGAAAAAAGAATAGTTAACATATAAATTAAAGATTATATTATACATACATTACATTATATTATACATTACATTACATACATTATATTATGTATACGAGTTGTGTTTAGTAGGTAAAGTGATCGTGCTGTATATTGTACAAATGTAAAATGTGTTGTGAATAATAAAAAAAAATTTAACATATGGTGTTCACCACATGCTAAATTTTGCTAAATTTCATACAATCATAGACGTGCAAACAATTTGCTGATATTGTTTTTTTAATATATATATATTTAATTAATTAATATTAATAATAAGTTTGGGGTTTAATATAAATAAATTCCCAGAGTAATAGAATCAATAAAAGTCAATAAAAAAATTGTCTGTTCTAATGGATTTGATAGTTAAACAAAATGAAATTAAAATTCAATTAGAATCAATGAGCGCACGTAAAATGTATAAATATTAATACAAAATATAAATATTAAAACATGTCATATTTTTTTATATTCTGTATATACTTCCAATATGATAGAATAATAATTTTGCCAATATCATTTTTTACTTTTAAATGTATTGTAATTGTAAGTGTATTATAATAATATAATACACTATTTTAAATAAATAATAATCAATATAAATAACAACAAGAGCGCTAATTTGAATTTTCCGCTCGTAAGAGATTTCCAGAAAAAGGACGGAAACAAATCTTAAGTCTACTTAGTAACCGCACAAGAAGACGCTGATCTATCGGTTGATTGTGATGCCGACTGAACTTGGGTATCGTGTGGACTTAGCCTGAACCCTGAGCGGTTACTTGACACGTCATTTGAAGGACACGGGTCCGAAATGGATTGTTTGTGACTGCCTTTGGCTGCAGCCGAATGAATACAGCACGTTTGGTGATGGGTCTCCCAGTCTTTATGCTGGCAAAACGAGCTGCAATACTGAGCTGTATTGCAGCCGCTACATGTTTCATTTGCTTTACGGCCACAATTCCAACAACTCTATTATACAAAATTCAATTATGGGACAATTAAGAAAAAATCCTTAAGCAGTGTAAACGACTTACGTTATACTGGGGCATCAGAGTCGAAGGAGATATTTGACTAGCAGTAGCCGAACCTATCAATGATCTACTACCTCCATTACATGCTGCCGCTACAGCAGCTGCTGTTGCAGCATTCATTTTAGCTTTTTCAGTAACCATCATTTCTATGATCTTACTTTCAGCACTTAATACCAACTTTTGCAATTCAGCTAGGGCTTGGTGTTTGATATCATTCATAGACTCCTCTGATTTAAACAACAACGACAGTTAATTTTACTTGTGAATTATGATAACTTAATAGTATGACCAATTTACGACTTTAAATTGAAAGAAGAGATATCGACTAAAATTACTACCTGCTCTTTTTTTAACGGCTTCAATTTTCTCTTCGGCTAAACGAACCGTTTGTGAAAGCATTTCTTCTGTAGACTTTTTCTTAATCCATTCTGGAAGATTAGACTCTGCTAGTCCTCGTTCTTGCAAAATACCCAATGCCTTTTTTGTCTTTTCGACCATACTCAATATACAGTTTAACATCTGTAATTATTTTATAATATAGTATAAATATTTATATAAATTATGTTCATTAAAAATTCAAACGAAACACATGAAAGTTTGAAAAATAATATAATTATAATCCAGAGGCGTGTTTTAAAGAGAAATAGTTGTTACCGAAGAAAATATTATTTGGAATGAGTCGCACGTGATTTATTGGACATTTTTTAACCCGTCCCAAAGGTCTCGTTACAGTCATTTTACTGTCATTTGTCACAAGTTAAAATGGTTCTCCGTAAAAACTTTCGGCAGCTTAGACTGTACAAATCTCAGAATACCCTCTTAAAAATATTCAAAGTTACATTAATCGTCAAATATATGCGTCCGTTCTTATATATATAGTTGAATTCGCCTCTCTTTGGATGATTTTCAGATATGTAAGTATTGATATAATGTACTCACTACGTGTATATTTTTCCATTCGTCTTCGACGTGCCCTTTGTTATCTTCTGGATCTCCACGAATATGTAACAGTGGTACAATATTGTAAGGATGCTGAGTTTCCTGATTGGTCAAATGTGTATGGTGATGATACATGAATGGCATACCGTAGCTTAAGTTAGACCGTTTTACACACGGTTGCTGATAGTCCACATCGATAATACATCCATTCTCGAAATAATTATTGCCGTCTTGATAAGGTCTTTTGTTGCTGTTAACGCTACCGGCGCAAGAATTGCTGGCCACCGCATTGTTTTCTCTAGACGGTGGAGGTGGCGCTTGCACCTTTTCTACCTGGTGGAAAATCTCTGACGGTTCGCTAGGCTGAGAGTCCCTGTCCAAATAAGCATTTTCGTGTTGTTTCAAATATTGCTGAAGTGTCTACAAATATAATAAATCATCAATTAAGAATATAAAAAACAACGAATTTCATGTAAAATATTATTTTTAATACTTTAGATAACCCATGTGTATTTTAATAATGATTGAAAAAATAATAAGTGTATCCTAATAACTTAAAAAATAAGTTAGTAGCATAATAAATATACAAAAATAGAAAGCTTCAGATTAGAAAACTTTTCCCAACTACTAAATGTCCATGTCATTTTTATATGAAAAATATATGTTTAAGATAAATAAAATAATTATTTCCCTCGCATATTTTCCTTACAACAAGTACAATATGATAGTGGCATATCATTATTAATAGTATGGCTGTATTAGAAGAAAGTACAATGTAAAAAGTTTCGTAAAGTTTAAATACGCATACCGTATACATAAAACAAGTATGTACGTACAATTTATGTTTGCCTTTAATACAAAATCGATTTTCTTTGTAACAACACACACGTGCAACGTATAAAACAAGTAGTACAATTACCTTTGTAATAATTCAACAAAATTTCGACGACCCTGTTAAGGAGTTTTCATTTATTGCCTAGTATTATTTATGTTTTTCACTGAGCGCCACGCAATTTTCTCACGATTTAAACGGTTACTTTAAACGACGTTTTACTAAAAAGTATCAAATCAAACTAAATAGCTCTTTAGAACTTAAGAGAATATTTTTTTATACTTGAATACCTCAATTAGTAATTATTCATACTCAGACTCACACTCATGTGTGTGTACATAAGAGACTACTTGGGGCAATGCCCCGTGGCCCAACGATAGGGCGTCCCTGAGTTTTTTAGTTGTTTAGAATCTATGTTCACGCGTTAATGTATATTCTAAGTTTTTTAAGATCAGCATTTTTTTTTGGGGTAAACTGAAAAAAAGAATTTCGGGGGAACACCAAATACAAATTGCCCCGGAGTGCTTAAATCCTTTATACACCACTGGGTTCGGGCCTAATCCATAAACAAAGTAGGCTATATGACCACAGACATATTAACTTGTTAATATGTTAATGCTAATCCAGATGTTGGGTGTTTGGAACAAAACACATTTTTTACTAAACACACGAATGCTATGAAAGAGAAGATTTTAATAGAATCAAAGTTTATCGGCTCAATTTATCCAAATAGGATTTGTTCTACACGACTGTAAAAGTTGTCATCAAAAGTTGCGATTTTTTCCTTTAACATAATTATGCTTACAAAACAACTGAATTTCAATTACTAATTTATTGTTAAAATTGTGAGTATAATATTTGTTTTAAACTTTGATTTCGATAGGCGTATTGTGGTTTTATAAGCTAAAGCCAACGGCAAAAAGATTGTGACTTTCGACAGAGCAAGTTTTGGTACTCGTGGTAGAGAGGAGAAGGCGCGCACGTGGCGAGACTTCCCCTCTGACCGCTCCAACGGATTTCAATGGAAGTGCGGTGGTGAAGGCGACGGCTGTTGCTGCAACACATGGCCGGTAATGGACGGCGTCGTAACACATTAGAGGTTCATTCTTTACCCTGCGCCGCTCACCAATCTCAGAATTTGCTCGTACAGTATTAAGTTGTATCACCTCACAAAACAAGTAACTATCGTTTTTCGAGTAAGTTTTAATTCAAATAGGTCATGGATAAAAAAAAATTGTACAAAATGCCATTATAAGGGAAAGCAATTTTGGTAATTGTTTACCATAATAATAGAAATAAATCAATTACGTACAGTTATGTAAACGATTTTGTAATTATTTTAAATTCTGATAAAGTTCAATGTTATTAATTAATTGATTATCCAAATAGAATAGAAGTTTTCCTTTTTAATTAACTTTGAAAAAAAAAAAAATGAAATTTTATATTGAGTATACAATATGAAGATACATCGATCAAATTCTATTATTTTTTGTGTTAATAAGATAAATATAAAAACTCACTTGTTTGTTGTTTCGTGCTAATGAGTTGAGTTCGCGGTGTAAAGAAGGTATGTGATTTTTCAAAAACGGTAGCACAAAAGGTCGTAAAGGAAAATTAGTCATTTCTTGTACATTATGGTGAAATTCTTCAGGACTTATTAGATTATTCTGAAAAAAAAAATGTATTCAATTAAATAATTTTATTTGAGCGAAAATTGTTTTATATTTTTTTAAATTAGCTGTTACTACGAACTACTATGAATAACTCCTTATTATTTTCACCGCGTTAAGCGCCGTTTATAATTGCCAGTAATCAGAAAATACATCAAACTCGAGGAATATTATTTGATTAAATAGGAATAAATAATTATTTGAATAGGTATTGATGATATTATGGTAACAATATATTTATATAAAAATATTTTCTTTGAAAATTATTATAGACAGTAATAAGAACTTGGACCAAACTTTACATTTGCGATTTTTATAGCTTACACTTTGGTTTTCTTTTAAGGACCAGTGTAAGAGCTCGTATTTTGTTTTATTGTTTTAAAGTCGTCCGATTAGCCTATTTATTATTAAAACGAGTATAATAACGACGCGATTAATATTTTATTTATATCAGCATTACATGGTATAAAATTTAAATGGTTTATATGTAAATGACGGTTTGATCGAATCGCGCAGTGCCTGATACGCACTGTCTCGAGTTCGAGACTCGATTACGGGTTTGTTGTGTAAAAAATTCTATTCACCAACTCAGGTGACGGACTACTGACGTCATTACCCGGAGTATCTATGGTTATGAGAAATCTTCTCTTCGGAGGACCTTTTAATGGACTGCAAAAGCGTAAAACGACAAATATAAATACAAGTCTCCCTGAAGACAACCCTATTAACTTTTAATGTATAAGAATTGCACTGATTAACTACATTTGACTTAATGTCGTTAGTAATGTAAAAATAAACGCAAGCATTATTGATTTTTTATCGAATGTCTTTTGTACTCACCACCAAGTTGAAAATTTGACCCTTGACACGATCGCTTATCTGTGGAGACAATTGTACGCTGAACTGAACTAGTGTAGAGAGAAACCGTTTAAGTTTAGAATGATTTCTAAATGTATTGTTCTCTGACGAAGGACTAGCAACTGTAAACACAGAAGCTGACGATTTAAACAAGTCGTACAATAATACGTAAAAATTAATTAAAAAAACTATCGTAAAGTCTTTCAAAGACGGGGATCAATAAAAAATACACATTAATCGACTTACTCTCCGATTCGATGTCGTTTTGAACTGTTCCGGCGGTTTGCAGCGACGGGCTGAGTAACTGTTCACGTGAGGATTCTATAGCAGAAGCATTGGCCGTGAAACCGGAAGCTTCTTTGGACTTGATTTTGGATTTACCTGTAAATACCGATTGACTCGTTATCCGACAGAAACAGTGTAAAGTGTAAAGTGTGTATTTAATTCGCTATTCGTATTATAATGAACGAGAGAAATTTCAACCAACGAGGTCCGGGTTAGAAAACTATATTTGTATATATATATATATCTAAACAACATACAAAGCCTCAGCAAAAGCCACGGTTTTAACCGCCCAGTACGTGTCCGAGTGTTCGTGACACGTCCATTAGCGAAATTCAGTTGTGTCATACACATAGACACACCGCCACCGCTAACAGCGTTCATACCGCCACCATCCATTCTGCGAGTTATTAGTTTTGGCTGCAACTTCTGCGGTTGATGTACCGCCGCCGCCACCGTTGAATTCGGCGAGGAAGAGAACACGCTCATATATTTATATATTTGAGGATACGTCAAGAAAAGAACGTGGCTGAGCTATCACCCGAACAGCTGAGAAACCGTTGCTTGTCTAAAGTGCTCTCGGCCGTACAGATAAAATTAATTTTTCTTTTGCAATTACCACTTTTTTAAGTCAATACGTGTGTTCTAAAACGAATTAATGTTGGATCAGCGGCGATAAAAAAAGAACATTTTGCTTATCTTGAAAATTTTCATTTAATAATTCATACCCCTTTATATTACAATTTTCGTCGGGTAAACAAATAAACTAATAAATATCTATAAGTGCCTTTTCATACATCAGCTGTTAACATGACACATTTTCATTATTCTCGCAAATATTTAGTTAAAATTATGATTATTAAATGTGTATAATATAATTATTTTTTCGCAATACGCGCCAATAAACAGTACAAAAATTATAAAGGTGCGTCGCCTTCTCGGAATTCCATTTGAACTTAACTACAAATTTAGACATGTGTTGGCTTAATAAAAACCTCTGTGACTATTAGACAATTTGGTTAGTTACACTCTCATAGCAAATTTCTGGACGCTAAATATTTTGTGCTGTCTTAAACATATACAGGGTGATTTTTTTATCATAACCCACTGAATTACTTAAATAATAATAATAATTTAAACATTTTTTTTTATTACTGTCTTTAGTTACACATTATTCTTGAATTATTAAATATGTAATACTTTTTAAGTTCATCCCTTATGCCTGGTAAGGGTGTCAACTTTGTTTTTTTAAATGGGAACACATATTTTGAATTTAATAAAATGTTTGGATTTTTAATTCAATAGTAAATGGCATTTGAATTTTTAATGAAACTTAATTTGTTTATTAGATATAAACATTTAAAGTTTCAAATTTTTGAGTTAATATATAGGTATAATACACAAGAGATTACAAATACAGTTAGCTAATTGGTTTTTTATGACATCAATATTAGCAGGTACACAGCATTGTTATTATAAATGGTAGTAAAGTACATTGTTGTGAGTTTATAAATACACTAACTGATAATACAGAAAGTATATCTATTGATAGTCATAATTGATAATAAAGAATCCGTGAATGTGATAGTAATATCATAAAAAATCAATTAGCTACCTGTATTTGTAATCCCTTGTGTATTATACCTATATATTAACTCAAAAAATTGAAACTTTAAATGTTTATATCTAATAAATAAATAAAGGTATATTAAAAATTCAAATGCCATTTGTTATTAAATTAAAAACTCAAACATTTTATTAAATTCAAAATATTTGTTACCATTTAAAAAAACAAAGTTGACACCCTTACCAGGCATAAGGGATGAACTTAAAAAGTATTACATAGTTAATAATTCAAGAATAATGTGTAACTAAAGATAATAATAAAAAAAAAAATTTTTATTTTTATTATTCTGTAAGTAATTGAGTGGGTTATGATAAAAAAATCACCATATATATGGTGAGATTTGTTTATCGTAAATAACTTAATTGAAATAGAAAAATAATATTGATATTTAGTAACTTTTAGTTAAATGTTTTTTTTAATTTATCAATTACGAAATACTTTTTATGTTCGTCTCTTATACCTTATAAGGTATAAACTACCTAAGAAAATAGAAAAATATCTAGTTAAGAAAATGATGGGTCCATAACAACTTTCATATCAGCTTTTCAGAAGTCATGAACATTGTTATACCTAGACAGAGGGAAGTACGAGTCCGAGAAATGTCTAGTGATAAAAATAACAGCATTCGCTCCCCACCTTACTTTAAATTCTTAAAAACTTCTCAAATTCTGATTCAAAAGTAGTTATCAAACAGTCATTTTCTTAATTAGAACATTATCTAATAAATAAACTAGTAAATTATGTATGTTACAATTTGAAAAAATAAAATTGATACCTTTATAAGGTATAAGGGACGAACATATCAAATACTTATATTTATTAAATTCACAATAGTATGTAACTAGAAAAAATAAAATTACTAATATTGTTGTTATTTAATTATCAAATTAACACATTTTCTTTTCGCAGATTTTTCAGTAGATAAATTGAATTTTTGAAGTTAAAGAAGAATTTAACATATCAAAAAATAATAACATCAAACTAGATGGAATTCATCCAGAAATTAATCTCTACACATAACTTTGTTATTCGTTTCTATAATAAGATTTGTAAATAAAATGTTTTCATTTTTCACATAGAGCAGGTGCGTGCCACGTGGTTCAAAGCACATCATCACGTCATGTCTTGATCTGCTGTTGTCCAAAACTGATTTTGTATATCTTTCTACAACTGTTCCTCGAGAGTTTTTAACTACAACTTCTCATTAAGAGAAATGTTAAATTCGTTGAAACACTAAAGTAATTACTTAAAAACTTGTATATAACTGAAGAATTTTCAAAAAGACCCAATTATTTACAAAACCTGAAATTTCTCTATCAATGCAAGATTTTGTATTTATCAAATGAATTAAAAAGAACTTTATAAACAAGATTTTTGTTTAGGATTTTCAAATTTTGTATAAGTTTACTCGAACGTCAAATTTTCAGCGCAAAATTTACTCCGTCGAATGCATTGACTTGAGACAGGTTCAGATCTGATGCTTAACTCAAGAAATTTAATTATTTTTTATGTTTATTGAATCAGATAAAATTTTAAGTCTAACGAACTGTTGACCTAACACTTACATACTCTGACTGAGATCTCGCGGGGAGACTTTTTGAAATTTTAGTTAATATTAGTTCTTTAATTAGTATTATTTTGATTCTTAAACTTGTGACTCTCAATGCACACTACGCATAATACTCACTGGGGATATGAAAAAAGTTATCTGCTTTCAAAAAACAATTAAATTAAATATAAACTACTGAATTTTGGCGATTTAAATATGTTGTGTGTTCAAACAAAACACGACACAAATACATGTATATTTAAATACATTCGACGGATTTCGGCGATGGCACAACAGGCGTTTTCGTTCTCAACACATTCGCGGTAGATATTTGAAAGGCCATCACGTATATAGTGTTGTTCACCACCCGCCTAAAAGTTTAAACCAATTTTAAGCTGCGAATGAGAGATAGAGAAGAGTGGCTATGCTCCAAACGAGATAACAGTGAATACGTGCCTAGTGGCCTCCTGACACGGATCACTGTAGTTGTTTATTTTTCTAATGGCTTGGGCAAACAAACACTCTGTTGACGAAGACCAGTATGTTTTTACACGATAACGCAGACTGGGTTTTTCCTAAAGGCGCCGTAGCAACACCAGTTTCACAAAAATAAAATAACAATATATATTTGAGCAAGCAAAAAAATTATCGCTGAAAGTAAATCGTTTTTTTTTTTTTTGTTATTGTGTATTATATATAAGGATATAGCAACGAATTTATATCCGTAAAAAATATAAATCCACGCAGCTGTTCCACTTTGACTTAAATTTTGTATCCCGACCTCCACTTCTTACTATCGCCAAGCTCAACGGCGTCTGCTATCCTTTCAGCACCCCTCTCTTTCTTTCTTTCCCACTAGCGTGAAATTAGCGTATTCGTTGACTTTACGACCTTTAATTTAAATTGCTCTTCGGGCCCAAATATAATAAATACACGCGTTGTAAAATGGTTCGGGGGGTACGCAACAGAAGTTCCTAATCGATTCCAGTAAAAATTGGTTGCATCTGGTAAGTTGAAGTTAAGCCGTGACCGGTCGACCGATACAGTTAACGCGCACCTGAGCTCCATCACACGAGCGAAATATTTCTACCCCTTCCTGCTCTTTCCCCTGTCTCAATCCATAGCCCTTCTTGTCATACTTCAACATTAGTAACCGACATTACATACACAGCAAAGTTGAACGAGTACTATAGTAGTTATGAAACCGCTTCACATTAATTGTCTGCATAGCTTTTTACTCAGCATAATTAGGACATTCGCATTCATAACAGGGACGACATAAAAGGAATTTGGTCGAAAACAATTGCCATGTCTTAAAATCTAAACAGTTTACTATTTACCTAATAATAATATTTTTGCTGATATCGTATTTATAAATAGTACTGGTGAGTACATTAGTGTTAGTAACTCAAAGTTTGTCAATTCTCAGTTGTCATGTTTTCTAATGGAAAAATGGCCTCCTTTACAAAGTAATAAATAATAATTTTTATCAATAACAGGAATTTATATTTTTTTTCCTTACAAGAAAGATAGTCTTGACATTTTTTCTAAATACTATAACAATATAATTATTTGTATATAATATTATTAATAATAAAATGCCAACATTTTAAATAGCGGCGCCACACACTAATTTTAATTCGTATTTTGAGTTATTGTAAACTTTAAAAATGTAATTTACTCAAAATGTAATATTTCGATTACATAAAAGTTGCTACACTAATATTTACAATACAATTTATCTTATATGATATGTATACTTATTGACTTATCAATTTTCAATATTGGTAACCACAAAAACAGTGAGTATAAAATAGATTTTGGGTCTCTTTTTGTGATTTTAATCCAAAAAAATTTGATTAACAAAAAAAGTCATTTGGTTATAAAGTAATTCATTTTGGGGTCACGCATTTATATTTCACCAAAGACCTAAAAAATTATAGCACCGGCACTAAGTAAAAACTTAATGACGATTTTATCATAAAATAAATTAATATTAGCTGTATGTCCACATCATATTTCAAAATGAAAATATCTTTAAAGTGATAGCGCAATGGGAGTTCTAACCTTAAGATAATTTTTCTAGTCATGTTTTTCGAGTGTCAGCCACATTTAATTATTAAAATTATGAACTCCCATCACTGATTGGACTGCCTCATATTAAGTAATTCTACTGTGTCTATTGCCAAATTTTATGTCCACTAAAGTTTACCTTTAAAGTTCGATGCCTTTTTTTTTTCTTTTTTTCATTATACCTACAAAATTTACACCCTCTTTCTGTATGGTGTTATTATTCATTCGTACTATGTTGTAATGCATCTGACGTATAACATATACACGCCTTTTTTGTTTGTATACAAAATAAAACAAAGCGTGAAAGTGGGGGTTCGATGGTTTCCAAAAATACATTTTGCACAAACATTGTGATATGCCCTAAACACATACGTACACAAATAGTGTCATCTATCAAGATTAAAACGAGTCTCTTCTGCCGCATGTCTTATTGGGCTTCAGATGCTGCATTTATAAAATATTATATATTATGTACTTAGGGGCTGCCGGCGGTTTCCCGTACGTCATTCTCAATAGAAAATTGATTATTCGCCAAACGCTGCACAGGCAGCAGCTGTGAAGTGCTTATTCTGGCGCCAGGCCAATCGTGACAGCATAGCGCAAGTAGAACTTTTTCAATTTATATTTTCACGCTTAAGGATTTTTGGTTAATTAACTTTTACATTTTTTTAGCAAAAACTTTTTCGAAATCAAATAGAGCGTACAAAACACCTCTCAATTTTAACAACTTTAATGATTATTAATTTTAACAAAAACGTTCAGAGTTTATTTCTTATTCTAAACAACAATGAAATTGACAAAATAATAGTTATATTTTTTAAATATTCTACTGATATTGAATATTATTTTATAAGATTGCAGGTCCATACTTAAAAGATATAGGAGAGGAACTCTCCCCCTCGCTACTTAAATGTCATCGGAAGTGTTATCCAATTTACTTACAGACGGTAAATTTACAATACTTTTAAACCTTTTTTTATGTTTAAATTCTAGGAAACCTAGATATTTTTTTAAATATTTCTAATTTCTTTGCTATATTATTTTTTATAATTTTAAAGTATACAAATACGGTGTTTTTTAGTTACTGATCTGACATAATCCATAAATTGTAGCATGGAAATTTAGAAATATGAAGTAAAAACAGTTTTATTATTCCCCACGACTTTGCTTTAAGTTTGGATCTGGAACCGGCACTATAATAATGAGGTCTACACTTCTGTTAAACAAACAGTTCGCTGTAAAATGACTTAATCGAAATGATAGCATTGTGTTCCCGGAGGCTTTAAGTTGGCGGGTGGAATTTGAATAATAATTATTACACGGTTATTTCTATAGAGCTGAGCCGTAAAACTTTCGAGAACCACCAAAGACATCGCCACTAACCTTTGTGTGTAAAACTGTCAGTATACGGTTCTTGAAATGTTAAAAATATACGTTTACATTTAAAGGATCACGACGTCGGAAAAACTTTACTAGTTATGTCAATTGAAACTTTAGAGAATACGGGTAAATACTTGGCCGAGGTCCTGTTTGGTGAGAATAATTTTCGAACTTTAATTAATAACTCCGACGGCCCTGTACACACTCAATAGACGAATAAATCAAATTTCAGCCAGTCAAAGAGAGGGGATAGAAAGAAGGAGAAAGTAGTTTTAGTAAAGCAGAAAAAAAAAGGGTTTACAATCGGCCAACATTATAATAAATTTTGGGTTTTAATAAATGCGCGAGCGAGGAGGTGGTGTGAAAGTTATTGGAAGGAGACCAAGAACGCGGCACCATATTTTACTAAAGAACGTCAATCGCAGGTGTCGGTGGGCGAAGAGAGAGCGGACTGTAAAGTACGTGGGGTTCGGGGCAGTGTGCTCGTAGCAAACGCGCCGGCTTCAATTTTCCTTAAATAATATATAAATATATATAATAATCTAAATATTTTTTTTCGTATTACTAACTTACAGACTCTTATATATTTTTTTTTAACTAAATAAACTGCATGGGTTTTACAGTCCCGTACTTTCAAAGGCCTCATTTTATGTATAACATAATCAACCATCGTTTATGCGATTGACGTTTGAGTTAAATATTTTTTAACATCAAAACATTATTATAATGAAAATATTAACAATTTTCCACGGGAGTCTGTCAAAAATGATCATTTAAAATTGTTTTGTGAGCTAAACTTCAACTGCAGCGTAAAAGATTGTAATGCACTAAACATATTTAATAATATCATAAAAAGTTTTGGATATCTCTGAAGTTTTTACATAATAGTTTGTCGAGGATTATCTTCTCGTAAATTTTATAATGAATAAATATATAAATAATTTTAAATTTAAACGTTTGATTTCGTTTAATCTACTTAATAAATACTGGACTATTTTAATCGTGGTTCAAAGATATTTTATATAACCTAAAATTTAACCAAAATATATACATTGATACCCAAATTAAAAAATACAAATATCAAGTTGATGCTTACGAGTTTGTATCCTGTAAGATGATTCCTTGTTATTATTGTTGTTGTTATTATTATTTATTGTAGAACTTTCTTCTAAAACTCCAGGATCTCGCTCAATCATCTCTTCTTTGATGACTTTTGGTTCCATTGACTGAAACCAATAAAATATGTTAATTAACAAAGAGCGTTATAATTTTATTTTTACCGAGAAAATATATCATCGATTTGTAATACAATGAAAACTATATCAAATTATTATTTATACCCCTTTATTGAATAATTGAATTTAAAATATAGGATATTGCATAAAAGTTCTCAATATTGTTCTAAATACAATTAATTATTCACAAGAATAAATTGATCAAATTGACCCTATTAGATCTCATAATTATGAGTAAATTACATATATGGGTATTTTTCTCAAAACTGTGGAATTTTTTATTCGTAAATATAATAGCGACACAAACAATTTCAACTAACAAGTTTTAGTTACTCACGATAATAATTGTGTTAATTTTGTACCTCATAAGTAGACTAATATAAGTCATATTCAATAAATTTTTGAGTAAACCATAAAAATTTTACTTCTTTGAATTATTACATAAATTGTTATAAAAGTTACCAAGCTAATATAGTTATTTTACATTAAAAAACTACATGATTAGTATACCATTATTTTTTTTTTAGATAAATTATACCAATTTACGGTTTTTTGCTGCAAACTTAGGTTAGGACTTGAATTATTAAAAATCTGATAAAATATGGAAGGGATTGTTGTAACAAAATTTTATCGATAAAGATCGATGTAAACTTTAATTTCGTATACAAAAATTTAATAACCTGAAATCACGATTTTTAGACTTGTTTTAGTCTAGTTCTGAAGTACAGAGATGTGTAATTATTTTGGGATATTTTTAACAACTATTCTGCCAATATCAAACAAAAAAATCATACATGACATAAATACGTTGAGAGATATTAATAATTTATGTACTTTAAAATGTTTGTGATTTTACCAAAATTTGGAGCGTGTTTAACGTCTAAACCGCACACGACTTTACATAAATTTACTATTCCATAAATTCGGACATGATCACTGATAGTAGTATTTGTTTGTTTCATTTAATACTTCAAACTAATATACTTTTTAGAAATTTTAAAATGAATTGATTATTAAATTTTTTATTTTATAATTTAACTATCTGTGAAACTGTATAGTGAAACAAGTAGAATTAACAGCGGAATAAAACTCAAAAATAATGTTTATATCAATTCTTAAATTGGCATTATGTTTTTATTATAAACTAAGTAATCAGCAAATTGAAACCGACGAGTTAAGTATTAACAAATTTGACTTTTTGTTTTTCGACAGTTGGACAAAAACTCTATACAATTGTGCAAATACAGTTGCATGGGACCACCTGAATTTCAACAAAAACTAAGCATTAACTATATGCTGTTAACCCAGATACTCAATTTAATAAAATTGGTCCATATATTTTTTTTCATCTTCATTTTTATTATTATTATTATTCTGTTTCTAATTATACACTAACAACAAATAAGTCGCATAAAGTGATCACATAGAAAGTCAGATATAAATTAGGTTTGGTATATAGTTCATAAATTGAGATTCATTTAAAAAATGATTATCTTAATACATGGATAGTATATATTGATTTCGTAAAGGTCAGTGAGTTAAAAATGCAGTAAAAATCTACTATTAATCCAAGTCCATCTCAGATTACAATTATGCATGAAATCCAAGACATATTTACGGGGAGGAGATTTTCAGAGGCGTGAGCCTCTTCTTCTTAAACTTTGTGTAACCACCAAATTTTTGACCAAAAGTGTTACTTTTAGATGTATTTTGAACAAAAGAAAAATGGTCAAGTATATTATTTATCATAAAATTATTTAAATATATTATTTAGTCCGTCTCCCGAAAAAAATTCTAAACATACGACTGATGAAATTATATAGTGAAAAAAAATATCTTCATTGATTTATTATTCTAATTGACAAATATAACTATATTATTAAATATTCATTTAATAAAATTAATATTTTCATGTTGATATTTATTTAATTTAATGACTCCATGAAAATAAAGTTCTTTAAAAACTTTATTTTTCATTTTTATATTCCATTTTATGAAATTTGAACTTTTGGATTACGATTCGAAAGGTTTTCAAAATACCCACCCAACTGTTGTACACGGGTTCGAAAAATAATTTTTACACAAAAGAAGTTTGATTTATTTAAATCATAAAAAATTATATATATTATAAAATAGTTAATAAAATAACACGCTATTGATTGAAAACGTTGTCAAAACAAAAAGTATGAATTCAATACTCTTGTAAATTTTGTACGTCTGAAGAAATTATTTTCATTTTGATTATTTTTTCACTAATTAAAAATTATATCATACTAAAAATTTCCAGCAAGGATTTAAAATTAATTTAAATAAAATATCAATGAAACGGCTAGTAATTTAAATAAGTTTAAAATCTCCAATATTTTTCTATAAAAATAATCCAATGCAGTAGAGGGCTATTGGAAAGCAAGAAATTTAAAACTTCTCTTGTTACGCGAACGTCAATAATTAAAATAGAATCGAGAAGTATTCAGTGGAAAGTTAACTACTTTGTATTTTTAATTGCTAACATTTAGAAGAGAAGGGTGATGAATTGTGTCGCGGCTGACTTCACAATTCGCGAGAACATTGAAAATTTGATCATAATCCATTTACCGCAATATGACGCTTATTCCAAGTAAAAAAATAGTTATAAGAGAAAATAGGATAAAAAAAAAGTTAACGACGATGGCGCTTATGTTGTTTTATCTCTTCCCCTTCGATTTCGTTAACCCAGACGTACATATTATTATTATATTATAGTTTTTATTATAATACTGCACGCGCTCACAGTCCAGCGGCACTTTTCTGCGTTTTTCCATTTTTTTCCCTCCGATGTACGTATTAATATTAGATAAACATTAACCAGCTGTGGTGCTTTCGACACGCGGTGACTGCGTGTGTGTAAAAGACAGAATGACAAACGGAAAAAAAGGATGAACGGACTCCGAACAGTGTTTTGAGGGTAAATAAAAAGAGAGCGAAAGAGTAAGAGAAATCATCAGTATGGAAAAAAGGACACATGTTTTCTATCGACCGACGACGGGGTGGTGACTGTTGCCGTGGCATGTACATTACCGTACGTACATGCAGAGCTTATTATTATTGTTACTATCATTATTATACTTTGGCAGAAAGGTCGATATTGCAGGTGGTATATCCCGTGCGACTTCTCACAAGAACTCATAGACAACATGAGCCGCACAACAGAAAACCGATAATGTCGTCGTCATTGCTGAGACCAGGCCGTGATGACGAAGAAGACCCATCGCATTTGAGAAACTCTATTATATACTTATATGGGAAAATCTACAAATTGTACAAACAAGGAGACATGTTTGATAAAATAATCTAAACAATCTTTATCACATAATGTGAATATTCGATATTTTATACAGCATGCCGGACTTGCTACCCTATTCAATTGATTATACTTTGACAAGCTTAAGACGGGACACGTGTTCATCTCCCATCGCTGATGAACAAAGATTAAAGCCATGAACGATTATTAACAAAGATATTAAATTAACATCTACATAAATATTTTAAGAGATAAACTCACTTTAAAATGTTCTTATAAAACTTAAAGGAGTAATTTTCATCACTCCACTAGCTATTCTATTCAAGTGTTTTTGTTATTTCTTCAATCGCTTTTTATTTAAAGAGTATTGGCAAAATTATTTGTAATATAAAACGCATTTTTACAGCTCAAAAAATTTTTAAACACAAAACTGATTTTGTTTACTAATACAAGTTTAATTTTTTTCCGTAATGACTAAAATATATTATTAGTTATTAAGTATTTCATTATTTTAAATTTCTGATAAATTTCTTAAAGTTAAGATCTTAATTAGTTTTTAAAAGAATTATAAATAAATATAGAAAATTTCCATAAAAGTTTGATACTAACGTGAAAATTATAAATAAATGTCATTCAAAATGTTTTTTTTGGTTTGTTTAATTTATAAGGCACACCTCTGTGCTTTGTGCTCCGTTTTACCGTAACTAAGTAGCAATCGATTGACATCGAATGTTTAGCTTCTATAGTTTTTATAACGTATTTAACAATTACTATATAATAATTTTCTTTTACGAGTTAGTCAATAAAGTAAGTCTACGCGATCAAGCAAAACGAAGGTGCAAATTACAGTAGTTCAATTGATTGTTTGAACAAGTAGTTACAAAGCAATTTGCAACCAAAATGCCATAATCCGAAGTTTTTCAGAATGTTAAACAATTAAATAATATTAATCAAACTTTTGAAATTCTTCAAAAAACAGAATATTAAGGCTGTACTAAAACAGTTAAACAATTTACATATATGAAATGAATGAGTTTACGTCAACAAACATGTATAGTGTTAATTAAAAACATACATTGCACCATTAGGTGTACTTTTTAAATTTTATTAAATTTCTAACACACAATTTTTAGACCTACCTCAACACTTGAAACAGGTAGTATAATAGACAATAAAATTTAACGTAACTAATGTGGATAAATTAAAACAATTTCAAATAATTATAAGTGACCCATAATCGTCCATTACTTATTCACTTTATTTAAAATTAAAACTATATTAAAAATATTATAAATTTTAAATAATGTTAGCCACAAGTGATCAATTTTTATTACATACTTATTAACTATAATTATTACTAGTATATTACACAACATAATGTATTATAGCAATTTTAAAACCATTAAAAATGTTATAAGTTATTCACACATTTTATCCATAAATTTGTTTTATTAAATTTTTTATTAAAAAATGAATTCACATTAATTATATTCTTGCTATATTTAAATTATAATTATTTAAAAACACTTTTATATAAATTTCATATCATTGCAGTTAGAGGTGGTCCTATAATTTTTCTGAGTAGAGGTATTTGTTGAGTTATTTTTTGGAGTAAGCTTTTTTTATAAGAAATCTTTTCTTTTATGCTAAAAATGCATGTATAAGGACACTTATTTTACTTGAAAAATGTAAATAAAGCGATATATTTACCGACTTGGTGCAAAATAGCTCAACATTTTGGATTGGGGTTCACTTAGCATCCCAATACCTGATGGGATCGCCTTTAATAATTATATAAAAATAAGTCAATGTCCCGGGAATGCAATTATAGTTAATGGACTTAACCTAAAAGCATTAATCATTTATATATAAGCTAATAAACAGCCAAATTTATCGACCCTAGCCTTTGGAGCAATTTAACTTAAAAATAATTAGACCTAACTCATGTTATAAATAAAATAATGTAAATTATTTAAATATTAATTAAAAATCAAAAGGTCACTCATATTTTCGATATAAGCTTTTTTAATAGTGCTTAAATTTTCCACAACTATTAAAATAATAGGAAATTATTTTAACTATTATTATTAAAACTATATATCCTCTAGTATAAAAACATAAAAAAATTGTATAAATATCTTGATATATTAATAACAAATTACAACATTTACCATCCACAGGGCAACCATTTATACCAGGAAAATAAGTAAAGGGATTAATTTTTTTTTCAAAATATAGTATGTTACATAAACTCTAATTTAAGATGCAGGTTTTCCGAAACATTTTCAAAGATTATCATTCTATGCAAACATCAATATTTTGTACCCCCTTGTCAGGGGGTACCCTTGTCGGAATGTTAATGATGGGTTTTTTAAAAAACTTTTCCTAATAATTCGCAAATATATTTGGTAATTTAAAAAAAAAAATTCGCTTCGTTTCATTTATTTTCAAAAATGTTATGGCAATTTCAAGTCAAAAAATTAGTAAAAATAACGAAATTGAGCTAATTCTAAAATTGATTTTTTGGGGAGAATATCCTTATTTATGGTTAACAAAAAGGATTTTTTTTCAAATTTTAAAAGTAATTTTTCAATTAAATATCATTGTGATCATATGACTAAAATCGGTCCATTAAGAGCTGATATTTGTGGTAACAGACACAAAACAAAAACTATAGTACAATTAATACCTTAGCAGATTTGCATCGAAGCTAAAAACATTAGATTGCTTGATTTTTATTATTAATAAAAAATATGACTCATAATATTTATTCTGTTATTTTTAGATATATTTAAAAATATATGACTAAAGAACGTTTTTCAAACAGTTAGTTTTTTAAAATATCTTATTTTGGTCCCTATTTTTAACTAAATAATATTTAATTGATTGTTCTACATTATAATAGATTTAATATCTTAATAGAAAAACGAGATTTTAATCTAAACTTTATTTTTAAAATATCAATGGTTGAATAAGTATTTAAGAATAGAAACAAACATTTATCAATATAAGGGATGAAAATGTACAGAAGACAAACGAATCTTCACCTGAAGATTAGATGGGTTCACGTGGTTTGATTGATTATGATGTTTTAAGTAATGATAGTTTAAGCTGAGATTACTTTGCGCTATAGAAACAATATACGAGAGTGAACGTTCATTGCCGCCTATGTCTTATCTATGGAAGTACTTTTGAGAGAACTTACCTCATCTGTGGTCATATAGTCATTTCCGACAATCGAGCAAAACATTTTTTTTTTTTTATATATTTATTTTAAATTTAATCACGAAATCATTAAATTCATAACTTTTGGGATTTAAAATATGCTTCTATCAATGTCTACTCAAATACTAGTTAAGTTATAGTGAAAAATATGTTTTTTAATATATGTGCGCTGGTGTTTATTTATTTCTTGCGTTTACTACCATCGACCGACCTTTTCATCATGATTACAAGTGCAAGTGCGACGAGGACGAGAAGAGGGTGGTTTGAGGCAGCACTTGTAACAATAAGCGAGGCACCTGTTCAAATGCTACTTTATAGGTACCAGTTGAAAATGGCCACATCGTGTACCCGGTGGTACTGATAATACACAATTCGATTGCCGATAGCGACCCTCAAGCGTTAATCAGTAATATTTCATGTCTATTAACGTGTGTGTACATAAAATATATCCTCAGAAGCCTTTTTACAAATTATTAACATTTTTAGATTCATAATTTAAAATCGAGTATTTTATAAAAACCATTGATGATCCATTCAAGTATTATTGTAACAGTTTTGAAAGAGACGAATGACGAGTAGTCCATTTCGGGTAGTTTAAGTTGTGATTTTTTAACACAATAGAATAATTTACACATTTTGATCTTTACCAAAGGAGTAAATTTCATAATTTTTAAACGTCAATTAACATTGAAAAAACGTTGCGATATATATTACGATTGTTATGATAGTATTTGGACCGATAAGGAAATATGATTGCATAACCCTTACCAATGCTAACGTTATTAGTTGTAAAATTATTTTTCTTTTTATAGACCTAATAATATCGAAAAAATTGTATTATCAGTGTTGTATAATTTTAGAGTAATAAATCTAAAAATATTGAGACTCGTAGGTTGGTTATTTACAGAAACATATTAATCTAATAACTTGAAAAACAAATTTTTTTTTCTGACAATAAAATAGCAAATAGGCGTGTTAAATACTAATGATAAATTTTCTTACCAATTAATTTTCAAAAACGAAACGACGATTCGATTGATTCAATGAGAGTCGCATAAGTCAAAGGATTACGTGAACAGCGAATGCACGCGCGATGAACTTTACTGGAGCGATGACAACGGCAACGCACAGGCTGCGGCCGGCGTTCACTGTGTCAGGTCGCGCTGTGCCGGCGGTTAGAGCGTGCGAACAGTGACCAAAGACCCGTGTGAAGTTTCCCGGTACGCCGACGCAATACACCACGTTAACACAGTCGGTCCAGACAGACACGTCGCCTCTGCCATTGACATTGTTAATTAAATGGTGGATTTTATCGAAACCACTACTCGTGTACAGGACCGCTGGGACGGCATCGAGAGCACAGGTTGTGTGTATAAAACAGCGTATGGATTCAGAGGCGCCTGTAAAGGACGTGCATATGAGCCGTGGGCCGTGTATACATACGGCGGGCAAAGAGCTTATCACAAACGTCACGTGCACACGTCTTTCGCTCACCTCTTGTGTACAAACGACGCAATCCTGCGGGCGGCAAAATATTATCATTATTTTCCGACAAGTTTTCCGTTCTCCCACTGCTTCGCCGAAACACAGAAGAACGAAGAGGGGGGTATTTTTAAAATAAACATCGTACACCTGTCATAAAAAGGAAAATATTACAAAATGTGTGCCCTTTGATCACGGCAAAAGTTACGTACAGTTCATGAGACATAATTTATAATTTATTTTTACCAAGGTTCTAGAAACTTAATAATCAACTCAAAGAAAAATACTTTTACCAAAAGAAAATACTAACAAAATTTGGGATACATTTTTTAATGTATTACGACATATTTTGAAATAGAAAAAAATAGAAATAGAACTAAAATAAATAAATAGGGTGTACAGGTGTGCCACCAAATTTAACATCTCTTATAACTCTTAATCCAATTATAATAAATTGCATTTTTATTTATGGCCGTCAGTGACTACGTTCAATGATACATTTTTTTATATTTTTCAAAATTATCATTTTTTAGCCCTTTACTTACAAAAGTTTGATGGGTCGACAACAATTGTAGCACAAGTTCTCATTGAGTTACAGGCATTTTAATACATAAAGTATGTTGCGCGGGTAGGTGCAGCCCATACTGGTGAACGAGTATTTGGTCGGCGCTTTATGTTCACTTTTCATATTTAGATGCTTCTAACTTATAAGTACTCGACCTAAAATTATTCGACCCATTACATATTATCATAAGAAAAGGGTTGAAAAATGATTATTTAAAAATTTTGAAAAAAATTACATTTATTATTATTATTTTTATTTGTAATATACAATAAAAATATGCATTGAACGTAAGCTTTAAAGGCAATAATTATTAAAAAAATTAAAAATTGAACGAAATCATAATTGGATCAATAGTTATCAGAACATCGTGGAATACTCTTTTTATTTAATTTTTAACATATTTATATAGAGTTGTTTATATTTTGATATTTTATAAATTATGATCTACTATACCCAGAGAAAAACCTCGATCTATATAATAAATTCATTGTTCAATTTGATAAATATATCATTACTATTCAATCTATGATATATTTATCAATATGATATTTTTTTTTCTTGTCTTGAACAATAATTATTCATAAGAATAATTATTTTGTTCGTATTAATAAAACATTATCATAAACCCTGGATAAAATTTCTCTATCAAAATTGATTGAGGTTTTTCTTTGGGTGTAAGTATGTCGGGTAACTTTTTTTTAAACTATTATTATACTAGAGTACTCTAAAAAGAATCATTAGATGATACATTTTTTTAATTTATAAAAAATTTAGACAATCAATTTTTAGAGAAATTTTTAAGAAAATATCTGATAGCAAAATAAAATGTTGATAAAATGTAATGTTTTGTAGAAAAATTTTTGTAGCATTTTAAATTTGCGGAAATTTTGAATTTTCATCTATTAATTTTAGGGTATTAAAAGTTGGTCTATTTAAGTAAGAAAAAAGATAGAAATAAAAAGTATATTTCCATGTTTAACCAAGTTAGATTTAACGAGTTTTTTTTCGTGAAAATTATCATCGTTTGAATAATTATTAGTAATTGAAACGATAATAATTTTCATGGATGATGTTACATATTTATAAACGCAATAGTTAGCACAAAAAAAAAAATTCATTTTCTTTTGTCTTTTTTCAATTATATTTAAATTTTCAATATCATATATAAACACATGAAATTTGAAATTTTCACAAACTTTAAAATTCTATACAATTTTAACAACAAAACATTAAAAAATAATTTTGCTATCTAATATATATCTAAAAGTCTCTAAATAATGGCTGTCTTAATTTTTTTTACATGTATTGAAGATTAAAAAAACGAGTAACGCAAAGTATTTAATAAATAAAAGATCAAATTTGTCAAAACATTGCAGATTATCCTGATAACTATAGAAATGTGAAATTGAATTCTAGTTTATACTTGTTTTTGCTTGATCTACTATTTTGAGTTAGAATAGATAAGTTTATAGTTATGTTTAAAAGTTGTTATGCAAATAAATATTTAGAAAAAAAATTTAAAAATAATAAATTTTTGTTTAAAACTTAAAGTGAATAGTGTCATTTAATATAATAACTAGAGGACTAAAATAGAAGCAAAAATATTGTTGATAGGTCCTACAATAACTCAATTTTCATTAAAAATAGCGATTTCCAAAACACTTCAATAAGTGAACTTAATCGGTATTGATTAAAATGTTTTAATTGAACAAACCTCTTCCCACAAACAACTTTGAGAACGCTAATGAATTTCATTCTACGAAATATTATCTAGTACAATTTTATTGTTTATCAATTTATAATGAACTATAGCTTATTGTAAAATACTTGCAACAGTGGAACAGGTATACTCAATGGCGTATTTAGAAATTTATAATTGGGGGGGCACAAAAAATGTTCATGAATAAGGTACTATAAAAAGACTTTTTTTTTTTTGCTTATAACTTTTATTAAAACAAATATTTTAGATTTTTTTGAAAAAAAATCTGTTATTTGTTTTCAATCCATTTTTATTAATAAAAATATTTCTTTTTATACAGTGTGTATCTCTATATAATAAACACTTCAAAAATAGGTGATAACATTAACGGGACAACTGTGCGGGCGTCAATTTTTGCTCCACAAGACAACTATATCGACTAACATTTCATAAACCCATGTTATTTTCGATAACCAAAAAATAACTTTTTCTAAAGATATTATACACTATTACATTGCACGTTCCCCTCTAAATACGCCACTGGGTATACTGTAGTAATCGGGAATTTAGAGAATTGTGCTGGTCAAACTGATTTACGTTTAGTATTTAACAATTTTTTTTACTATACAATAAAAAAGTATTATTTTTATAATTATTTTCTTTCGCTAATTTCATTTAACTACATTCGTAGAAAGTTTTTAGCCCACAAAGTGTACGTATAGTGGGACATTTAAGCTAACGGTGAGCTGCGACAATTTCAAAAAACAAAGCTTACTGCACATACACCATGTCGCAGTTGTTCGACCACCGGTGCCCTTTATTCTTAGCCCCGGGAGACTGTGAGAAGGAAGCAAAAGTCGCAGCTGCCGCCATTATGCTAGTAAGGGCTCGCGCGAAATTTCCACCCGACATGTGTGTTTTATATGCCAAACACACATAGTCGTCATGTCATCTACGCACATTATACACATATATACAGAAATACTAGTTATAATCCTATACAGGTACCATATTTATTAAATTACTAATGTGTACTTTTAAGTGTAGATTGAATTTTGAACGCCAAATTAAAAAAATATCCAAGTCAAAATGTTCATAAATATAAGTAAAAGTGAAAATTTAATTTACATGGTTTTTAAATATTTTTCTTTAAAAGTTAAATCAATAATTGCATATGTATTATTCTGAATTGATGACATTAATAGATAAGCATTTATGTAGTCAATATAAATTAACAAAAAAAATTTCAACTGTCTCTTGATCAACTCTAAATCATTTGATTTTCTGAAAATATTGATACTACCCAAGCCAAGTCCATATTTAAGACTTAAGCGTCGGGTGGCTACATGAATTTTAGCGCCCCAATTTTTTTCAGAATTGCTCTTTAATAGTATTGATTAACAAGAAAAAGTCTTAATAGTACTTTAGTCAAAATTCCATCGGAATGATTATAATCGTAGAAATATAAAATATCATATTAATCATAACTACCAACAATAGAATATGTGTATGCATAATACCTGTAACTAGTTTTGTTAAACGAATAGAAAATATTAATTTGATGGGTGAAAACTAAAATAACTTGACTTTATTTTAAAAAGTAGACCAACTTTTGAAACTGTCCTTAATAATAATTAATTATTTTTATAACAAAACATAATTATGTTATTTTTACCATAATTCACAGAAAATTCTTAAAAAATTTTTTTATAGTAATATTTAAAATGTCACATTAAAATATTTTTTATTTTAATTTCAATTATTTAGTCTTATAGCCAACAAATTTTTAATTTCGAAAAATAGATGTTGATTTAAATGAGATGAAAATGTTGAATATTTCTTAAAAATAGTTTTTGTGAAGAATATACAATTTTGTTATATGTAAATTTTAAAAATTTCTAACAGTTTTTTCGTTTTTACTCTTGAATCTTCGTATTTTTAAAGTCCTGTAAAATTAACAACATAGATATTTATTATTTTAGTTTCTATTTATTTTTATTTTATATAGTTTTAAACTAGTATACATAATAAACATTATGTGTATTGACTTTTACTGACTTTAAAGTCGATTTTAAAAAGTAAATTAGCTACAAAATTATTCGTTATTTAAAAAAAAAAAAGTTGTTCGATTATTTCCCCATTCCTAATCTTTTAATATTATTACATTATAACATAAACACAATTTTTCAACTCTTTAATTAAAATTTTTTTTTTATATTTTGAAATAAAAATTCTTTACAGTTGTCCTACTACAAATGTTAAATATAAAAACCAAAAACATATGGAGTATTCATAGAATCGAAATTTATTTCATAAACTTTAAAAAAATGTGTGGTTTTATACTTTGTCTAAAACAGTGTAAACACTAGAATTGCAAGAAAATTTTAATATTAATTTAAAATAAGTCCCAAATTTTATAATGATTGGAAAATAATCCTATTTATTTCAATATAAATTTTAATTAAAACAAAAATTATTTTCAGAGTGATTAGGATAAATATAATGATATGAGCCAGAAAGAATATATGACAAGATTATTATATATAAATAACACAATATTAAAATTTTTAATTATACACATTTAATAAAAATATTATTTCAAAAACAAAGTTAATTAATAATATTTATATTTTTCAATTAATCTTAAGTAAAAATAAATTTAAAGCTATTTTTAATTCTTTTTTTAAATAACATAAAAAAATGAATTTATCTTTTATTTTACATTAAATTCATAACCATAAATCCATATATTAATTTATTTAATATAAAAAATTAATAAATATCAAACATTCATGATTATAATTATTTTTTAATGAAACTAAATAATTTTACATAATTTTAAAAGTATTCATATTTGAAATAATTTCATAACATAAAAATTTAAATTATATAAAATTACAAATAAAGATAACTAAATATAAAATATTTTTAATCCAATAAGAATAATTTATATTTGTGTTAAATTAATTTAGTTAGGAAATGTTAATATATCAAGTAATGTACTGCCTTGTCTTCCATATTGGTCAATAGGAAAAATAATGGTATCTTTTACAAAAGTAAAAATCAAACGTCTAAAAATAAAAGAGTTAATCATTTATGCACAAATATTTCATACTATTTTTCATCTGACAAAAATGAAGTTAAAAAAGCTATAACTACATTATTATAAATAATATTTAAAATTTAAAATAAATGCTGATATTGAAAAGTGTATCATGTTATTATACTAATAATCTTAAATACTTTCAAAATTAAAAAAAAAAAAACTTACAGGAGAATTAAATTTGATTTGATTATTTTTTATTTTAATTTATCCACCACTATTAAAACATACTATTTTAAGAAAAGAATTTTAAAAGAAAATCCATATAAAAATATTGTAAAATGATTAAATTAACATCAGCTCTTTATCGGAGCATGTTTAGGAATTTTACATAAAGAGTTGAAACAAAAAATATCGTCTCTTGATTTAAATAATAATTATTAAAATTTTTTTTTTACAAATTTATTGCAATAATTATTATTTCAATACATTTGTAAAAATAATGTGTATTCGACCATTGTAATTTTGCTGTTTTTAGAATCTAAAAGCATAATAAACCATATTTATTGAAGTCATAATTGTCATAGTGAAATTTTTTTTTTCTATAAGTTATACTAAATAAAAATAATGATTTTTTAATAGATATAGACTAGAAATGATCCAAATATTATCGAAGTCTATGATACATACTCCCTATAACCTTACCTAAATTATTTAGGTAAGTTTAATTTATATATTATAAATCTCTGTTTTTAAGAAAAATAAGTTTGGATTATTAAAATACCTATAAATAACTTACCTGTGATACAAAATATCATTGAATATATCTACATCATCAGTAATACAATTATAATTATCATTGGATACTACAGCAGCTCCAACATGGGATGCATAATCTAATATCACTCTAAAAATATTTCAATAAATAAAAATTATATAATATAAATGTACAATTGTTCTTGAATATTTTAATAACAAAACAAAAACTATGATATAAATTTAAAAACTGTATAGTAAAATTACATACTATTAAAAAAATGTTTCATTTAACATTATTTTAACTATAAAAGTATGGTAAAAATATGTCTGTCACTTTAAAACAATAACAACATAAGATTAGATATTACATATTTATGATTCATATCCAAATGATGATGTTACAATAATTGGTTTTTGGAATTTGTATTAATTTTATAGAAGATAATACTATCTTTGACAAATTAAAAAATAACAAAAAAATTTTAACGGATAAGATTATTTTTTGAACTTCAGAGTTATAATTTTTTGTAAAACACCTATGAAATTTTTTATTTGTTTCTACACTTAAAATTAAAATTATTAAAAGTAACAGCTGCTTTTAGAAAATATTCACAGGTATTATAATATTATATATTATAACATATTATTTTTATGAAATCATTGTAAAAATAATATAGTTAGGGCTTTATAACTACCTTTCATAAGATGGGCTTTGAGAAAAATTATCTCTTATAGGAGTGTAACATATATGGCCTTCTTTTTCTAATGTCTTAAGAATATCATTTTTATCTTCCAAATAATTTTTGGTCAAAAATGCAACTATATCTAAATGACCACGTGTCTTAAACCAATTAACACATATTTCAATTCCTTTAGCAGAGAATTCTTGATTAATGCTATGCCTAAAAATGAAATTTACCTTTTAATTTATTAAATTAAAACTTTTGATTAAATTATTAAGGGTTGGAAAAATTATTTATATTTATACACTATTTAAATTTGTAGTATGCCACAATTTAAAAAATGGGGACTATCATAAAATGTATGATATTATTATATGTGTTGTATTTATTTAATAATGCAATGCATTGAATAATAATTTTTTTAACAAAATTTCATATAAAACCCATTTAGTATATGCTCTCTTTCAAGTCCTAAAATAGTATGTCCACTGAATTATATATAAATCTACCAAGTCTTATTATGTGTTAATTAATTTTAATTAAAGGATTGTGATTCTTAAATTTTAAATGTTGATAAACTTTATTTTAATTTTTGCTAATTGAGTTGTTCAGGTACTTATTCTCGAGTTTTAATTATTTTTGAACAAAACCCCTACTCTAAAAAGATCTGATTAAGACATTGTTGAAAGCTATAATTGAACTAAAAAGTGCATCCACTGAAATCGGATATATATTCTTGTCTAATTTTTGTTAGGATTTAAAAAATAGCAGTAGTGTTCAATTTTTTATTACTGCTATACTAATACAAATATTTAATTTTTTTTATAACTTTATGTAATTAATAATGAAGTTATCAATGAAACTTACAATAATGCTACATTTTTTGCATCAATTGCAATAGGTCTTAGCTTCCTACCAATACTAATTATTTCATCATACAATATGATATTTTTTTTTTTCATTTTTTGGTTATTAATTTTTTTTAGTTGATTTTTATTTTTTCTAACAAATTTCCAACGGCTATTAGTTTCATTCATATTCACTATATTGATATGTTCATTTATTTCTTTATTAAATTCATCAATTATTATGGGATTATTAGCAGAGCCTAATAATTCAAACCTATTGTTTTGTTTACTTAATTTAACACAGTTTATCTTATCCTTAGATTCCTCAAATAAGTTGCCTTTAAAATTTTTGAGTTTTTTTTTTATAGTTAATTTTTCTTTTTTCTTTTTTCTTTTTCCCATCTTTATAATAGTTAAACCTACACAATATTCAAAATTGTCATTATTAGTTGATGTTAAATCCTATAACCTAATAAATTACCTTGGTTTCTTTTCTAAGCAAAAATTCTTTAACTTTAGATAGGTAATTCTCTGAATATTGACCTTAAATAGTCATTTTAGTTTTAAATAGTTTAAATGGTATAAAAAATGTATTTTATTATTTGTAAATTTTACAAAAATTAAGAAGGAGTCACTTTAGGGAATAACAATTTTTTAAGTCAAATGGAAAACGATTGATAAGGTGATGATAAAGAAATGTATAAAGGTTATATAAACAGCTGATTCAATTTTTTGTAAACCTAATTTTTCGTTTAAATATTTGAAATTTTTAAATTGGTTGATTGAAATTTTTTTGAAATTTAATTATATCTTTTTTATGTCAAAAGTAAAATTAAATGAGGTTTTAACCATAATATATATCATTGGTAATATTTAAAATCTGAGGATCTTAAAACTCAATAAATAGGGACTTTGTCCATTAATCCTTTCTTAATCTGTGTTTGTTTATATTTAATGATCTTAATCGTTGTAATAGGCACAATTTAAATTAAGAACGTTTAAATCTATATCTATCTAGCGCATTCTCTACCTTACTACTTTTCATATATTCTTTTAGTCAATACGGCACTAGATGCCGTGCTAGTCGTAAATAAAAAAAAATATTTATATATTATATATATTTATATTTATATATTAAATATATTAATGTTAAATTACATATTAGTATTACATGATTCACCCTTTAAAAGATATACGCAAGAAAAACTTACTCTACTCTATAGATATGAAATCAAAATTGTATCTTCATTCAATAATTTGTTTATTACGTCATTAAAATTACTCTCCCCTCATTATTACCTCAATTTCACAATTTAACATTCCAAAGTTAATTAAAAATGTATTAAAACCCGAATAATTTTGTGATTTTTATTAACTTAAAAAATATAGATAGAAAGAAACATTAAGTCCCAACTAATGTGTTTTTTCTATTAGAGATAGAAAATTTTATTTAATGTAATAAGATCCATTTCTTATCAAAGCTACTGAATCATCTTCTCTCATGATTCATTTCAAATCAATTTTTTGTACGTTAAAAACTATACATATATATATAATACAGTAGAACTCCAATTATCCGAATTAATGGGGACCGGGACCCATTCACTGACTAATCAAAATAAACAATGACAGGTGACTGCAATGCGCCGGAACTGGAGTGGGAACTCTTACCACGTGTTGTGCCTACACTGACGCCGCGGACTTTGGACAAATTTTTTTCTGATTTTTTCTGAAAGTGATTCGGATAATCGGCGATTCGGATGATCGGAGTTCGGATAATTGGAGTTCTACTGTACTCTTATTTTTTTTTGTTTTTTCTTCTTTGTTTTAACAGTAGATATTTGACCCAATGAGGTGGTTGAGATTCTATTCGTTTTTAGCAATATAGTTTTTTAAAATTGACGGTGATTCTGTTGTATGGCTATACTTGATTTTTCTATAGAGATTACATTATTGTTTCGTTAAATTTAATACAATAAATATTTTAAAATAATAATGATCAAAATTTAGTTCAGTTTTAATAGTGCGCTATAAAATTTTACGTAATTTAAATTGTTGAATTATGTAACGAAAAATTCCAATAAATATTTTTTTTTACTCTTAGTTTTAATATATAACAAATCGATTTGATTGATCGATGCCAATTCAACCGCTATTGTATAGTAACAAAGTGTAATATTTTAAAATAGAAAAATATCAAAAAAAATAATTTTTCAAATAGTCTAAGTATGAGAAGGTTTAACTATACACATTTGACTTAATAATAATATTATTAATAGTTTACTTAAATCGCTTTATTATAATCCTTTATGTAATCATTTAGTTGTATATTATAATAAAATTATAATTAGATAATAAAAAAACAATGGCTGATTAATAATCAACAACATTTATTATAAAAAAATATATATAAATATATCAAAATTGATAACAATGTTATATTTACATATAATATAAAATATATTTATATTTAACAATGTACTTGACAACAAAATGTTTTCAATAAATAAACAGATTTAATAAAATAAATAACAAATACAAAAAAGTAAATGAAAATGGAATAAAAAATGATAAGTGTAATAAACAATTAAAAAATCTGTACTTGCACAGATAATATAAATCGAGATATTTTTCAACAGAAAATATACATAATTATGACCATGAATATTTATAAATGATCAGTAGGCCTAGCCCTTCTATCGGTACGTCGATTAGAAGCTTCAGGCTGTCTATGCCGTACAATCAGCGGCTTTGTAGCTCTAGGAGTTGGTTTTACTCGCATTACCGGCTTGCACTTAGCGATCGCCTTTCGAGTTGTCTTGGATAATACCAACAAAAAACAAGGCCTCGTATTTTTTGCCAACGGTTTATGGGGACAAGATCCATGCGGGACGCGGAACACGAGTACTGCCTTAAGTTCATCACCCAGACTGTTATTACCGCAATACTTGATAGCTGGGGATGTCTTGAGCGCGTTCGATAACTGCGGCGTCGCGATTATGTCATACTGTCGTTGGCCAAGCAGGTAGGAAGTGACATCACTCATACGACATCCTCTTAAGACGAAACGCTTATCGCCTTCGGTGAACTGAAAAGGATACTCAGTGCCTATGGAGAATATTGAGTAGAACTGATACCCGTCAAATGTCTCCAAAGATAAGTCGGCATCGTTTGATATAACCATTTGCATGAAACGTTTTTCATCTTCTGGGCATAACAAACGCAGCGCATTTTCAGATTTAACAGACAACTCGACAACGTGCTGAAAAATGTCCTTTGCCGGTAGTTGCTGATACGACACTTGTTCGCTGTACATATACCACTCCGCAAAATTGACAATCTCACCGAAATCAGCAGCAAAAGACATTTTGTCAAAATCGCCATTTATCTTGAAATAACGCCGAGGAAAGAGCCACGGAAAATCTCGGTACATCTCAAAGTACTTGACATTGGTCGCGAGTAAAATCAGCTGCATCTCCAAAGAGTATTGTTCTTGAGCGGATGAAACAGCCATTGTAATTCTTGTAGTTTGCGCGTAGAAACAAAACGTATTGAACAGTTATTAAACACGTATTGAACTTAAGACAAATCACAAAAATGTGTCGAAGTTATTACAAAATGCAGCCTCTTTTATATGAAATATTTCAAAATATTTTGGCCAGCGACGAATAAATAAATCATATAAAAATAATAGTTAATTGCAAATTATTAGCAGCCAGCTAATCAAAATACTTATTATTTACTATATTGTAATTATATAAGCCAGCAAATTTGAGATTGTTTAAATTTGGACGTTGATTTTATCACGAACATTGAAAAAGCGTTAATTTTTGTATTGTTATATATTCATATATTAATAACAAATTAAGTTTGAGTAAAAATATCCCATAAAAGTAGTCGTACATTATTATGGAAAATATTTATAATTAAGGTAAATAGATTATTGCTATGTGAATACATTTACAATTAAATGTTCATTTTTACTTTTACATAAAAGTACTTATTAAAAATATATACTATTACGATATGTTTAATTTAAAGAAATTTATTTATTAAAATAATTTGTTAAGTTAAGATATTTTTTCTTATCTTCTATCGACTTATGTATTTAGAACTTTTTATAGCGAACTCATGGCTAAAGGTTCAAGGTATTAATCGACTTATGGCAACGCATTAGGCGGCATAACAATAACGCATATTTCCGTTATTTTTATACACAAAGGCAGGCGAAACTTGAATTCTTCTGGGTAGCTTTAACTCTTGAGCCGCGCCTAGTCCCAGGACCCAAAGACGTAATCTTGAACACCAACCTTAGCCTCCTCAAAAAAGTGAGTAATCATACATATATGATATATATAATGTTAATATTTATTTTATTTAACGTTCGATATTTAGACTATGAGCCTGTATACAAACGATAACCAAACCATGATTTTACACATTGCGCTTAGATTAGCCAGGTGACCGTATACAACGAGTTATCTTTCAGAATAATTTTTAAGCTTCGAGCAGCTGTTTTTATGTATGGCTACAATTTCCGTCTGTTGTTACTTGTTTACTACTCTGAAGGCGCCTGCAACGGTAACGTCAAATCTAAAATCTGGTAAGTACTAGCAGCTGCTGCTGTTGCAACCCTTTAACTATAGACGTTTGTCATCGCACGGTAAAATAATGATCATTGAACAAGTACATATACTTATTAAATATACTTATATATTATTTTAAAAGTATAATTAAAACGATTGTTTCACTGTTGTATACGGTTCATTGTATAAATATGTTCCGGAAACTCCTGGCGTAAGAATATACTTTGTACTTAAACTGCTTTTTTATGGTTTCCATTGACTGCCCACGAAAAAGTGTTAAGAGCACGAGCTAAAACAATTCATAATATTAATACATTCATGCTATATAACAATAGTAACTAGAAAATATTCTGTCATACATATCCATATATTGTACCGAAAATAGTATTATGTGGTAAATATTGCGGCTTATAAATTATTAGCTACATTCGAAAAAAAGCAGAGCACACACGACTGTAATCATCGATATCTTTTTCAAATAGAATTAATTAATAGATTATAACATGCTATTATTCAATTATTAGTTTTAGGTTGTAATTTTAAATAGTCTTACACATTTAACGTATTACGTTATAAATGTCCTTTAGAACGTTATAAATTGTTAAATAATATCCCCAGTGGTGGAATTTACATGATAAAATGTTTTCTTACTACCTTTTCGTTGTGTTTTTATAATTTACAATACACTTTGTTCAATGACAAAAAAAAAAAAAACAATATCTACAGTAATTTATTTTTATTAACATTATGTTTTGTTTGTTCATACAGTGTATTTTTTAAATATGATACAACTTTCCAATTTTAATTCTAGTAGTTGAAACACGGTAAGGTGCCAACATCGCGTATACATTTAATTGCTTATATTTTCTTGAATTAATGTAGGAGTTATGAGGCAACTTTTAGTCTCATGACTTTGAAATTATTTATTACATAATAATAGTTCATTCATAAGAATAAATAATAAGATATGGTGTTCATATATCATCGCCTTATAACTTAGTGAAGATGGGTGAGTGCAATTCTTACAACTGTGGCCGTTTGTGAATATCTATAACATTATTATACTAAAATT